GCTGGCCATCGACGGAGACGACCTGCAAACAGAAGGCGCTGAGAAGCGGGTCAAGGATGCCGCCGCACCGTCGAAGAAGAACCGGCGTCGGGCGCCCTCTCCAACACCGCAAAACGCCCGAGGCACTCTCACCCACAAGACGGTGCATATCACACCAGGTGCACTGGATTCGACCGTGTCAAAATGGACTACCGAGCTTGGTCCTGCGGATGGCCCTATTCCCGTCTTCTTTGTTGCTTTGCATGCTTGCGGCTCCCTTACGCCCGACATCTTTCGCATGTTTATCTCTCGTGCCAGACGGATACGCGATGCCTCGTCGTGGACACCGGCAGGCGCATGCATAGTCGGATGCTGTTACAATCTCATGTCGTCAGCGCGTAAGGATATCTTCACATTGTGTTGTAGCACTCATCGCTGACCTCATTATAGACGACTTTCCGCTATCCACCGCTTACGCGGATCTGCCCAATCTTTCAGAAGCTCACTTGCAGCTGGCGGCGCAGATGCCTGCCCGATGGCTTGATAGTCCTACTTCTCGCGCAACTGCGGAGCTCGCAATACGCAAGATCGTTTACCGTGCTTTACTCGACGCGCACCTTCCTCAAACCGTCAAAACCTCCCCACTCTCCATAAGCACTACCTCAGAGAACGGCACAACCAGAGTCTACCGCCCACGTGGAGCACCTGCATCAGGATCTACCGCCACCACTGGTTCCGGTACAGGCGCCCTTCACCGTCGTCTGGGCAAACTTCCCGACGGCGCATACGCCTCCTTTGCGCACTTTCTAGCAGTCGCCTCAGAGCGTCTGGGCGTGCTGATTGAGGCGCCACCGGAGGAGGACGAGTGGTTCAAACGGGCACAGAGTCAGGTTGAGGTGTTGCACGTATTGCGTTGCATCATGGGCCCGAGCATCGAAAGTGCAATTGTTGCAGATAGAGTAGTCTGGCTTCGCGAGGCTCTTCGTGGGTCTTGCGTGGACGAGGTCAAGCAGTGGGAAGTCGAGCTTGTTGGTCTTTTTGATCAAGCGGCTGGTAGCGCTCGCAACTTTGCGATAGCCATTCGCTAAAACTGTAGACTGACAAATTACCTGATTAAACCATCTTGTGCATGATGATCTCAGACCAGGACTGGCATGAGAAATATATACATATGCTTTAGACTTGCCCACTCTATCTTGACCCGATACATACTTCGTTTGAAATCCAAAACGAAAGCATTGAACTATTCGGAACGACAACTGCAGGATTTGAACCTACGCGGGGAGACCCCAACAGATGAAACGCTGCGCAATTCGAATCTGTCGCCTTAACCACTTGGCTAAGTTGCCATGACATAAGATTCTGCCAGTAACTTATAACTCATGAAGAAATCCTACTAACGCCTGGCAACATAGTAGAGTCCGCGCATCTGCTTCGACCCTTTTGAGCCTGTCTGCCACTACGACGTATGCTAGGCCTGATTCCCTAGTCCCCACCATCTTTGGAACTACGTTGGATATGAACTCTCAGGTGCTCGAAAGAGTGACTTGGCACTCACTTTCGCTACCTGTAAACCTGTACCCGTGGTTAGGTCGCTTGAAACCGTCTCTATATGCGCGCACGCCGGACTTTTCTTCCATTCAGCCGCCTTTGCTGTCCTTTATCGAAGTTCTCAGATACCTCAAGACTGTCTCTGTATCATTTTTCTGTGCTGTAGCTCTAAGTGCGACGACCTTTATCCGCTCTTTGCCCTCACTCTCGCTCTCTGCTTTGCTTCTTATTCACGCTCACCCCGGATTCATCATCGTGGCTACGCTCTTCTCGGCGTGGATATACGCGCTATACATGTCTCGCACGCGCTCTCCGGTATCTCCAAGATATATGGCTGCTCTCGGCGCAGTCTTGATCCCGACGACTTCGCGTTGGCCATCGTACTACACCGCTCGAATGCGCGCCGCTCTACGCGCCTCACGCCCGCTTCTTTCATCATCCACGCCCAAGAGCTTCGGTCACCCAGACTCTAGTACTTCTGATGTACTTCTTGAGCTTGACATGGATACGCTGTTGGCCGATATCGCCGCCGGACGCATGGAGCTCCGTTCGCCTGACGTCCATCTTCAGACTGTACTCGCCGGCCGCGACATCGAATGGCGCGTGCACGACGGCAATGATGAGGACGCATGGATCACACTACGGATCAGACTTGTCGCTGGATATTCGGCGCGCTTGAGGGCTTGGTACGCGGACATCGCGTCACGCGCTCTGCCGGTAAGCGCTTTGTAGTCTGAGATTCGTGAGTCGCATACTGACGTCTCCAAGGTCTCTGAGGACGAAGCATTCGCGACGCTCGTGCGCACGCCAACGCATGCACTACTCGATCTGGACGTCATACCTCCCTGTCACATCACAGCCCTTCTAGCCCGTCTCCCACGCAACATACGCGCCGTCCTACTCCTCTCATCCGCGTCGGCCCCGTACCCGCCATCAGATCTCTCTGTCACTTCTCGCCCATCAACCTCTCTACCAGCACTCCGCGCCTATCCCTTCACGCGACCCCGCTCATCCGCCGCACTGCGCACCCAACTCCCCGATCTTCTCCGTATACTCTCCGAAGCGGGTGTCGCGCTCGAGAAGGTCGAAGATGCCGGTGAAGCATATGCGAAGGCGCTTGTGGACGCAGCGGATACGCTCGAAGGGGAGGGAGCATCGCGCGACGCGTTTGTTGCTGCGCATGAGAAATGTGGGGAAAGGGAGGCTGCGGAAGCTGCACAGGAAAAGGGGAGGCGCGCATGGCGCGCGGAGGTGTTGAGAGGGCGGTGGGAGGCGGCGCTTGTGCGTGCTGGTTCGGTGAGGAAGTGGGCGGTTAGCGTGCGCACTTGAACATTGATCCCAGCCTGGACCCTTGTTGGACTCTTTGGCCTGTGGACTGTACTGATTCGGTTTCCTGACTCTTGTCGCTGTCGATTCTGCTCTTGCTACATTCACTTTCTCGATGTCTTGTTACCCCCGCTATCTTGTTCTCGTTGTCTGTACCCATACGCAGTCGTGTTGACTCCTTCGCTATCGTGCTCTCTCTCACGGTTCGCCAGCATCACCTGCGTGTACTTGTCCCTCCCCCTCCCGTTAGATCCATCCCTCCGCATCATCATGTATCGAACCAAGTCCACGCCTGCGCAAAGCATCCTGATATGTATATTACATCGCATGTTGAAGCGTACTGTACAAAGAATGAGGGTTCCTGTCCCGATATCCCATGAGATGAATGTAATCAGTGTTCGTATCCTGATCCGAAACTAGTATGTGAGTGTCTCGATGAGCGCGTCCAGCACGCGTACTGCATCAGGCAGAATGAACTTCTCATAGTTGAGCCCAGATGGCGTGTCCCATGAGCCGACGCGGCGAACGGGCGCCTTCAGCCTACAAGCCTATCAGCCGCCGCTCACTATCTTCAGAGTTGAGCAAGGATCTGGCGTACCTCAGGAAGAGCTCCTTCTGAACCGTTGCAGCAATCTCCGACCCCACACCACCCGTCATCCCCGCCTCATGAACAACAACCAACCGACCACTCTTCCCCACTCTCTCCAGCACACCCTCAATATCCCACGGCAACACTGTCCTCAAATCCAACACCTCGACCTTCGCACCCCTCACAGCGCTCGGAACGATCTCTTCCAGCCCTTTTGGCGGTTGCGCGAGCATATGTGCGGCGGTCTCGCATGTGTATACGGGTGTACCCCATGAAAGGACTGTGATGTCTGGATTAGACTGCGGGAGGACGGGCTCGAGTTGCGAGAGGGGGAGGGTGTAGTCGGATGTGGGGACGTGTTCGACGGAGGAGCGGTAGAGGATTTTGGGCTCCATGAATATGACGGGGTTGGGGTCTCGGATTGAGGCGAGGAGGAGGCCTTTGGCTTGTATTGGTGACCTCGGGATTACGACCTGTAGTACCATAGGGTCAGTTCGGGGACAGTGAGATCGTGAAGTGAGAGGTGTACCTTCAGCCCTGCTGCACCCATGAAGTACCCCTCAGGCGATTGAGAGTGGTACAGCCCTCCATGCCCCACACTCATGGTCGGTGTTCGGACAGTGAGCCCGCCGGCGTTGAACTGCCCGCCTGATCTGTACCTATATTTAGCCGCCTCGTTCACGAGCTACGAAGAGCCCGAGTTCAATCAGCGATTCACGCATCTTAGGATGAAGTGAGTGTGGGGTGGTAGCACGTACCTGGTCAAATGCGGGGTAAATGTAGTCGGCGAATTGGATCTCCGCTATCGCCGTGTGGCCCATAGCCGCGAGTCCGATTCCGAACCCCGCGATACCTTGCTCGGATAATGGAGTGTTGAATACGCGTTCTCGACCTGTACACAGACATGCGTGTCAGTGATGCAGTCGATATTGCGTGTAGGGGAGCCGCGGACCGAACTCCTCTGCTAAGCCCTGAAAGCAAGGAACCAAGTCAGCTGAGCGCGTTACATGTGAAGGTCCGCCCGGAGCGGATGTCCCGACGGCGAGGAATGCGGGGTAGGCGACGACGAGTACAGTGAACAGACATACCATTGTACACCTGAATACACCACCGAACGAGACGTCTTCGCCGAATACCACCGCTGTGTCGTCCTTAGCAAGAGCGATACTGCGCAGACGGTCAGCTCGAGCTCACTAGTAACACTAGAGCTTGAGAAGTATAGACGCACCTCATAGCATCGCGTACGGCCTGGTATACGTTCATACGCCTGGTCTCCCGTCCAGTGAGAGAGTTGCCGGGCTCGTCGTCCGCGAACTTGAGTCCCGGCGTTCTCAAAGCCGAATCCCGCGACGTCCTCAGAATCGCAGAATTCGCGATCGAGGGCAGATGCCCACCAGCCGGCGGCGGCTCGACCGCATCCACAGCCGTCGAATACCTCAATCTCGAGACGGCATGGCGAGGGAGCCTGTAGAGTACAGAGGCATGTGGGGAAACGGCGCGGGTGAGCATCGTGGTTCGGAACCGGGGCGGCTATAGCGACGGAAGGTGGAAGTGGCCTGACGTTCGCAGGCTTCTCTTTCTGAACCATGCTTCTTGTCAACGTCTAACCGCCGGATCGAGCGCGGCAAGGCGAGGATCGACGCTTCTGACGTATCTCCTACTACTACTTTCATACAAGACTGAATGGACAGGGCACGTACTTAGATCTACAGGGTGAGATATTAAGCAGGTCGACCGCCTCAGCTGGATGGGATCCCGGACTGATGTGCCTGAACAGAGAGCCGTCTCTCTGCCCCTCCCGTCATTGCAACCTTACACTACTACACTCGCACTACTCATAGACGCATGAGAGCATCATCTTGAAATGGACAACGACCAGACGTTCATCGCGCCCGAAGGCGTCTACTCGACGCTCGAAGAGCACAAGCCGACGGCGCCGACGCATCTCGCCCCGCCCGCGCTCTACCCGACCAAACTAGCGACCGTCCACGTCCGCTTCCCGCACTCCAAACAGCCCGCACCAGGCCTCGGCCAGCTCCTCACAACGTGGCAGCCGAAAGAAAAGGACAAGGATAAAGGCCCGCCCGCGCCCGACGGCGCATCAATCTCTTCCTCCGACACACCCGACGCCGAACAGCTCAACCATTCCGACGACCCGCTCATCGAGCCGCCCGCAACACCGCATCTCTTCGGCTCCGCTCCACTATCCGCACACGGCTCGGGCCGCCGCGCCGCGCGCCCGAAACAGCATAATCTACGCACGACCAGCTCTACTTTCGTCACGCGCTTACATGGCGCCGAAGGTTTGAGCAAGACGTTGGGCGCCAAAGCGGGCGAAGTCACATATCTATTCTATAACGCGGCGAAGAACTTTTATTGGGCGGAGTTGGGCGTTAAGGCAAAGGAGCCGCTTGCGAGGATATCGTTCTCGGCGTATCCGACTTGTCATGATGTGAACCAGCATACGGCGGCGCATGATCGGCTTGACGTTGTGGTGGGGTTCGCTTCAGGGGATCTTATTTGGTTCGGTATGTGCTATTGCTTCGTGTGGCGAACGCGACGAGACTGATTGATGCGCGTAGATCCTGTCAGTTTACGCTACGCGAGGATAAACAAGCAGGTCCGTGCGTGGTGTATCTACTCAATGCTATAGACGCTAACGCAATATACAGGGACGAATAACCGCCTCCCCATGCACGGCTGTCCGCTGGGTCCCCTCATCACCCAACCTCTTCCTCGCCTCACACGCAGACGGCACAATCATAGTCTACGACAAAGACCGCGACGACGGTGCATTCACACCTGGAGCCCCTCGTGCAGATGGAGACGCAGAGGGTGAATGGAATCCGCTTGATAGCATGTTCGTTACTATGCCGCCGTGGCACCCGGTTGGAGCTGCGGCCAGCGGTGGGGAGGGAAAGAAGGAGAAGGCGGATAAGGCGCCGAGGAATCCGGTTAGCCATTGGAAGGTCAGCAAGAGGGCTATCGTTGGTGCGTGCACACTCTATCTCTGCTCAATGATCTCTGTGTGGCGGATCAGATACGAGGATGGAGATACGATGCATGACTGTGTGTTCGCTGCCACACTCGCCGACCTGCGTCTTGGGGTCACCGTTCGATCTGCCAATCCGAGTTGGTCTCTCTGGCCCTGTCGTTCGAGCTTCCATCCCCTCTCTGGACCGTGGTGTAGAGCAAGATAGGCTGACGAACCACTTGCAGACTTCGTATTCAGCCCGGACGTCAAGTATGTTGCTGCAATCAGCGAAGACGGATGTCTACGCGTGATCGATGCACTCGCGGAACAGCTCATGGACTGCTACGCGGCCTACTTTGGCGCATTGACAAGTGTAGCGTGGTCGCCCGACGGCCGGTTCATCATCGTGCGTGTCACTTTCCCTCTCGTATTGGGATTCATCATTGACGAGAGAGCAGACTGGCGGCCAAGATGACCTCGTACATATATTCTCACCTTGGGAAGGGCGCGTTATAGCGCGCTGTCAAGGACACAGCTCATTCGTTTCAGCCCTCGCATTCGACGACTCACGATGCGACGGGCGGACGTACCGCTTCGGATCCGTCGGCGAGGACAACAAGCTCATCCTCGTACGTATATCTAGCCTACCCTCTCATCCGAGTACTGATCTGTATACAGTGGGACTTCTCCTCAGGCATCCTCCACCGCCCAAAACACGCCCCCCACACCATGTCCGCCCGAACAGGTAGCACATCCTCCCTCCGCGCCTCGCGCCGGCGCGAAGGATCCACCCTCCACCTACCGCCCGGCGATGGCCCATTACCACGCTATCACCCCGCACCATCACGAAATGAAGTCGCAGTCGTACAGCCTGTACTCGTGAAACAGCTCGATGGGCCCGAGCTGCTTGTGGGCGTACAGTTCTTGCCAAGACATGTGTTGACGGCGACGAAGACGGGGAACATTAGGCTTTGGGTTAGGCCGTTGAGCGTGGGGAGTGTGAGGACTCCGAGGAGTGCGGTCGAGCCGGAGGATGTTGGGTAGATCTTGGACTCTGGGTGGAGATGTGTGGGGAATATAGGAGAGGAAGAGCGCGACAGCGGGTCTGGACGGCGTACGGAGGGGACATGATGGACATGTTGTGATTTATCGTATCATTATCTAGGGCTTGGTGTTGCATCATATCACAACTTTGCAGAAAGCATCTTATACTCTTCGTCTGCCCCATGAAGGCATGGATCGAGTGAACCTCGGGCCTGGCTGGGTGGCTCGAACGCAGAGCTACTCACATGTCAATCCGAATGGGACCGCTTCCGTATCAATGCTTGAACCCTCCCCGAGGCAAGTCCGAGGTGACGGGAGGCACTACGGCCATCGCACGCATTCATTGTCATATATTGTTAACCTAACCCTACCCCTACTGCATGTACGCCCACTCAGGCTCATCGCGCCTCTCCCACCGACCACCATCTCTGGAGAAACTCCGTCGCAACCAGCTACTTATTCATGTCATATCCCTCAGATGCTATACGCCTCTAGTCATCCGTCTCTAAGGTAGCTAAGGTAGGCATCTCAACGCCGCCCAATTGACAGTTCTCGAGAAGGAGAGCTAGAGTCCGATCTGAGTCCTGACGAGGGACATCTTCAACTCCAGGGATCATCTTGATTGATCTCATGAGGCCCGTCCACTGATCGAGAGTGAATTCGACACCTCCAACGTCAAGGCGACGGAGATGCGGAAGAGTAAGGTTGGTCGCATGGTACATGAGAGCGTCTGGGAGTCCCTGAATATCGCGCTGAACGTTGATAGACTCCAGGGTGGGGACGTATCTCAGTAGCTGCGACCATGGTTGGTCCTCGATGGCGACTCCCGCTTGTGGATTAGTATAGAATCCGTTGTGTTCACTGATCAGATTCACGATGCCATGGACAGTCGATGGCCAATGCGTGAGGATGTGTCGCAGGATGGTCATAGATTCTGCGCAGACATACTCGTCCTCGCCGTCCAAAAGGGGGAGAAACCCGAGCGTGAACCATTGGGGACCGGACGGTGAGATCGGCTCGCTCCACTCGACGGTGACCCCTGCGGTGAAGTCCTCGAGAAAACAATCCAACTTCATGGTTTGGAAGCCAGATGGATCGCCATCGTCAGGAAATGCCGCGCGCAATCGACGGCCGAAGACAAGGTCCAGCACCACACAAAGCTCGTCGATGCTCGCCGCCTCTCGAGGAAGATTGTCGAGCTCGAGCTGAACCGAGATTGCACATGATGTCGGGAACACGATATGAGCCATGATGTGCACGATGTATTCGGCTTGGGTAAGCATGTCAATACTTCGGAGATGCGGCAGATGTATTAGTGTACGATTGGGACATAACGCCGCGGTTATTGGAAGCGGCTTAAACGGCCGATCATGTTGATTGTAGGTGGTAAGCGTCACCTCCCAGTGGAACGCCTCTAACTGTGGCAAATGAGACAAAGCATCTAGTAATTCATCGGTTGAAGTCCAGATGGGGCAGTCGGTTATATCCAAGGTAGTCAATGGGGCATGGAGCAGTACGCAGTTGACTGTCATGGTACAGGAATAGAGATTGAGCTCCTTCAGCTGAGACGGCGTTGCTCCAGATAGCAGATTTTCGTCGAGCGTATGTTCGATGTGCCGAAGATTGAGCGATTCGAGCTTAGGTAAAGGTGCAGTGAACAAAGCCCAGATGATCTCGCGCTCCAAACTATAAGGGGGTGAGTAACAATCAACCTTAAGGTCTCGTATGCGATGTTTCTCTCTCTTCAGCAGTGGTAGGGAGTGAGGGACGTCTTTGATTTCGCGCCTTTGCCATGATGTTTGACCCGAGACAATATTCAGGTCGAGCGGAAGGTTCTTCGACAACCCTAGAGCTCGACGGGTCCATTCGATACCGTACGGTCCCACTAGCTCCACCCAGAGCTCGGATGTATCCAAGGCCACTGCATGCCAGCGGCGGCAGACCAAACGTAAGATGAGAGCGGGTGGCAGCTTCTCGTGATGCTCCGGGATTGCGTCGAGCTCCTCGCGTACCAGATAGCGAAAGATGTGCGAGATCGTTTCCACAGGTAGAGTGTGTATCCCTGGTAATCCTGCAGACATATCTGCTTGTGCCATTCCTAATAGAGCGTCAGTCACACAGCACACCAATTAGCAATAGTGAACGTACTCTTCTGGCGTTCTTGAGGGCAAGCGAGGGAAACAAGACAGACTGATGGGCAGACAAGGATACGCCTTTGCTATCGGGTATCTGGATGATCGTGGTTCGAGACAAGGTGCGACGCGACGCGTCGTGCCCTTCTCCAACTTTGTGTGACATTCCTTTGTGGACTATTCCCTTTCCGGTCGTGGCGCATCGTCGTTATGACAGGAAAGGAGACTAGTGACCCATGTATTCCGATCACATCTAGATCGCATCCTCAAAAGAACCGACAAACGTACTCGACACCTTGTACTTACAACGCAGATTGGCTGGCATTTGCTCTCGTTTAATCACTATCTTCAATACTGGCCGGCATGAGATCCTCCCCGTCAGAGGCTGCTCCGAAACTCGGTTGCTCGTCGAGATCTTCCATCTCCGCGTCAAGGTCTGCGCCTTCTTCTTCCTCTTCTTCCTCTGCCTCTTCTGTCTCACTGGGTTCGTCCGTGGCTACTGGTGAAGCCGCGGCTTGGTCCGAATCCTCTTCAGACTCGTCGGCCTGTGAGGGTCATTGAGCGCGGGATATAAGGCTTCCTACGATGATGACTCACATCGTTCTTCTCCTCGTGTTGTGTATACGTCCTTCCGATGGGCACGATGAACCCGTACCCGCGGATCTTCACGTCGTTCGTCTACATCTGGTATTGGTATCACACGCATAGGCATATCGCTATTGAGCGTACGATGTCCTCAAGCTCTGCTTCCTCGTCACTCAGGTCCTCCATGTCCCGCACAAGATCGCGTCGAAGGTTCAGTCGCCAGTCCTCGGTACCACGTCGAGGGAATGGCACCGGATGCGGTTGGGGTGGACGCGGAAGGAGAGTTGGGAAGACCGGAGGTCGTGGAAGAAGTGTGGGAGTATAGACGGACATGATGAGGTGTGCTCTGTATCTCAGAGTGCGTTTATGCACTACCTACATGCGTCGGGCATGAAGGTGATGGTTCGAGGCAAGACGCTCGCGCGCAACAACGGCTGAAGCGCGCCACTCGTGAACGACTCCACACGGTCACATGAGTATTGTGGTTCGCCAGAGTGGAAAGTGGCGTCAAAGCCTCAGATGTGTGTAGTAGTACAATGATCAATGGTGATAACGTATGGCGTGCTGTATAGTATGCGTATGTGTCCATGGTTCCGTGACGATGGATGCTAACGGAGGAGAAGACTGGGAGAAGGATGCCTAGTAGAAACAGTGACCATGACCACTCGCGCCTCAACCCGTGATGAGAAAGTATTGGACTTCACCGTCCGCATCCCGTCTGCGTTCAATCGTGAACTCAAATTCGGACCCAGGTCTCTTCTTTCCATCGTTCTCAATGTGCCAGATGTACTTGCGTAGCCGCGCCGATATCATCTCGGCGCCATCTCCGGAGAGCACGAGGGTCTCCGGGTCGAGGTCGGACAATGCAGCCCACTGGAGCGGAACTCTAATCAGTAAACAGAGCAAGTCGTGGGAGAACTGGACGCACGTCGCCCGTAGCAAATACGTCGAGAGCGGTATCCCCAAAAGGTCGCGGGGCGTCCACAAGCGTGAGGGTAACACCAAACCGATACTTCAGATTCTCCGCCCCGGCACTGCATACGGGACACTGAGGGTCATCAGCTTCCACGCTACGTAGCATTCAGCTTGCGTGCAGGATGCGGACGAGACAATTGACATACGGTTCGCTGCAGACAGTGCACGCGCGGACGATACACTCGGCGAGGTCTTTCGGCTCATAGTCCGCGACGCGCGCCTTCATCTGGAACATCTTATCTTCCTCGGACGCGTCGTCCAAAATCTGACCGATGACGAAGGCGTTCCTGGTCGAAGCATCCGGAGCAGGCCGTGAACGGGCGAAGGATGGAGGGACCTTGACGTTCACGGGCTTGCCGATGGGTCTGGGTGGTGGTTCAGGCGCTCCTGCGCCGCTCAAAGCCTTCCGCCTACAGAGAATGTCAGAATGCTGCTAACACGCGCACGGATGGTCACGTACTCCAATAGTGCGATGACGTGAAGATCGTCAGACGACGCATCCAGCTTACGGATAAGATTGTCGCCGCCACCGATCCTAGCGCTGACCTTGCCGTCCAGTCCTATCTTCGCGCGCAGATTCTGTATCCGGATGATATTGCCTGGGCTCAGCTTATCCGCGCGTTCAGCTTGGCCTTCATCCAGCTGGACCATCAGGACAGCGTCTTTGTGCTTCTCCCGCAGTTCCGGGGATAGCGGAGCCTTGAGGTCTGCACGCGACGTATAGTCGGTGACGTAGATCTTCGCTGGAGCGCCCTCAATAGTGCTCTTCGACACGCTAAGAACCTAGTGCGAAGGTGAATAAGAATGGGAGAGGGAGAGGGAAGACTTTCCACCGCACCTCAACGGTACAAGTGAACAAAGAGGCCACCGATCCAACCTCAGCCTCCCCGATTGTCTGATGTTCGAACTCATGCGGGCTGTTGTTGCTCTCCTCAAATTCCTTCTTACGTCTATCAAGCATCAGATAAAGTTGCCGCCACAACCTTCGAAGAGTACTCACATCAGCAGGTCAGCGAGGAAAGAGTTCTTGTTCTTCTCTTCCTCTTCGAGCCTGTATGCCTTCCGCGTCTCCGAAAAGTTCGCCTCGAGGTATTGATCGCCTCTTCCCGGTTTCATCCGCACGTTGCAGAACGTCCAGAGCTGGCCCTTATCCAACTGCTGCTCCCGGACGAAGTTGGCTGCTTCCGAACCGTAGAACTCGATTTGCAACGCTGATGTCGCCAGGTTTGCCGGGCACCACTCTGTCCGCACCGGTCGTAGCCCGAGACCTGTGGTGTTCGCGGTGTAGTCCGTGGCATAGACAAGAGTCATGTCGTTACTCTGGGCAACATAGACAATCTGTGGAGACGGTCAGAGGCGGAACGACTTGAGTGAACGACAGGTATCATACCTCTACCGTGCAATCAAAGTATGGCATAATCCTGTAGTCAACGTCCTTGATGAGCTGATGCTTTCGCTTGGGAGGTCTGGACGAAGGTCCTGGGGTCGAGAGCGGTACTGGATCGTCGCCAATGTGCTGCACTACGCCCCGCTTCTCCGCTCTCCGCTGTTGTACCTCATCCCACCACGCGGCAAGCTTCTCGCAATGGGCTCGTTCTTCCTCGGCGACAACGAGAAACGGTGTATACTCCGTTTCCACGTGGTTGTCTTTGACAATGTGACTCTTGGGGGCGTCGTCAAGGTCGATCTCGCAAAACGAGCGTGACTGGCGTCCGAAGAGCGCCCACTTGAACTGATCGCTGTAGGCTGTGGCAGAGAGCTTCGAGTCGCCGTTGAGTCGCTGTCATGAGGGTGAGGAACTATATTGCGTTGAGAGCAGATGCAGGTGACGAACCACGACTTTGGCGTTGTTGACGAGTAGGATGTCCCCAGGCGCTGCCTTAGGGATCCAAGGGATGTACTTGTTGAACATAGTGACGCTGAGCCCGACCGGCCTAGATTCGTCGTAGAGTACTCCACCACATCTGTCGAAATTGGAAGGGTCGATGAGTGTCACCTTCCGGTACCAATCTGACAAACACGTCAATCAAAGAGCAGCTGAGTACATGAGGCGAAAGTACCTCGCCGATTGCGCATTGATTGTTCAAGTTCTCCAACATGGTGTACCACGCCGATGAAGGACTCTTTCTGGTTGACGAAAAGTTCTTCAATGGGAGTGAAGTTTGTCTGTCAGGAATTCAGTAGCAGCAGGAGATACGCAGTAGAGTACGGACCATGAAGCCCATGACAACTTCAGGACGGAATGTATCCAGTAGAGACTCAGATACGGGTGCCTCACCTCCTGCGTCCGATGACGTAGATGGCGCTAGTATATTCTCGACCTCCTCTCGATCTTGCGAGGAGGAGGATAGCTCATCCGCTGTCGTCGACCGCTGAGTGGATTGCGCTCCGATCTCCGACTTGCGACGTTTCTCTTCTCGCTTCTTCCTCTTTCCCAGCGCCTTCTCCCTGTTCTTAATGGTTCGAGAGCTCTCAGCAGGAGTGGGACTCTCCCGGTCCTGTGCGTATGAGACGTCGTCATCCATCGGACTGTCCTCATCGTCTGGTATGAGCGACCGCGCGGCAAGGAGAGCGCCATGTAGCCGACGATTGTCACTCGTTGGAAAAGAGCTTCGCAGTGCATCCATGGTCTCCATAGGCGAACTGGTGCGGGGAGTGGGGAGTTCTGTCGGAGAGAATCGCGCTCGCGAATAGGTGATATCGTTGGGCTCCGCCACGAAGACGTCCACGGCCGATTGCTGGGTATTGAGCCACGTATCATCGCTCATGGAGGTAAGCTGGCGAGGTGCGGAGTTCTGCGAGTATCTGACTCGCTTGTTCTGTCGCTGTTCGGCAGTACCTGAGTTAAATGTGTTAGTGACATGTCCTACCGTAGGTACTAGGAACACGTACCTTGGCCCGCCCAAGCATTGAGCACTGTCTCTATGGAAACATGCGCGCCGGAGCTGTAACGCAAAGTCGTCATGCGACCGGGGTCGACGACGGCGCCACGCGTCGAGACCCGGATGTTCGAGCCAAACTCGGCGACTTGTTGAATGCGCAGTGCGAAGTGGCCCTCGAAGCGCAGAGCTAGAATGTGCCTGTCTTGCATCTCCAGTTCAACGCAAAACATGCCATGGGTGAAGCTGGTGCCAACGACGCGTCCGCTGAGGAACCCACGCTGGGGAACGCCGGCGTCGTCCAAGTACTTGAGATCCTGATGGCTTAGGGGTTTGCTGTACTCCCCAAACCCAGATTCTGCTTGCGGTGACGAGCTTTCATAGTTGCGTTTCTGCGAGACGCGTGACATGAAGGTGTTGAGGACGTCGTGGAGGTGGTGGGCGCAGACAACCACAGCTGTCGCGGACGCGCGACGGGCCATCAACGCGTTTGTCACAAGCGTGCCAGACGCGTCCATCACAGCAGTCACACAGTTCGAACCTGGACGCCAACGCCCATTGTGTCCGCAGACGGCAACCTGTCATGCAAAGTATCGCTCATAGCCTCACTCCACATTCACTGCGGACGCCGGAAGGGCATCTGACCGTGACACTGCCGACTTGCGTCGGCTTGGGCGACTGCGCGTCAGTCGCTGAGAGATACAGAGAGATACCCCGACACCTTTTGTTCTCGCTTTGGGCAACAACAAGGATGGCAGATGCGGCGCTCGTTGTCAACCGCCTCCCAATTGTCCTGAAATGGCCACCTCACCGCTATATATTGGGTTGCCTCTGCTTCGACACAGACCCACTTCCTCACCTTCCGACTTCAATCCGCGGACTTACGTGTTGTATAGAATCCGCGCGGTGCATCTGCTATGGATACTGCCTCATACGCTTACCACCCTGACTTCGCGTCATCGCCCCCACATCCTCTTATATATGCTTCATTAGTTCCCTGGCACTCCAGTAAGGGCCTACTGCGTCTCGACCTTCACAAGCCCAAATCCACGTATTCCATTGGACGTGCGCCCTCGAACGATTTCACCTTCGAGAATCGTAAAATCAGTCAGGCTACTCAGGCATATGTCGTGATCAGGAGCTAACACGATAATACTTAGGTTGGATATTTGGCTCTCTCACTTGGGATGGCGGACACGAGATACATCTCACTCTGGACAAGTCAGCAGTATCAACTGTTTGGGTAGGACACTGTGGTCACGAGATGCATCCCTTGCTGAGACAAGGACACCAGGTAAACTACAAACTGCTGAAACCGGGGCACTCGATCCTTCTCAAGGAGGGAGACCAGATACGAATCGGAAGCGTGGAACACCGGCGAGAAAAGGACGCGTTCTTCAGCCGTGACCTTGTCTACGTATTTCACCAGTTCACATCTACCTATCCAGCTACGTTGTCGTCCCAACATCTGGAAACTAGGAAACGACTGGATGAACTTGAACAAGAACGTGCCCGGATGTGAGTTGGATTCTGATTGACGCTTATGACACAATTCAAACTTTGCACAAGACTACGGAGCCTGCCCGATGTTCCTGCCGTACCGAGATACGACTTCTTTCGTGACTACAACGAGATGCGCAGCTTGAACAAGGAAACAAGCAGTTGGCCTGACGATCCCAAGATTGATCAACCCGACTGTCACAAGCGTGTCAACGAGTACTTCGGCACCCTCAGGGTCAATCCACCACCGCCCATCCGCACGCGGGCTGATGTCAGAACCCTGTCGTTCGGCTATGATGGAGAGTCCGTGCACGGTATCGACTGGAATGACCCCGATCTGGTCTGGAAAGGCCACATCTATCTGGATCGCTCGCGCCCGCTGACGATACCCGTTTCGATCATACACTGGTCGAATGTGCATCGCCTACCGGTGTATCTTCATCCCGAATTCAATCCAGCGTTGACTGCGACAACCGCGTACCCTCACGCAGCCTTCTCTGCCAATTTCTCCGACGAATCGGCGGCGCGTAATCGGCGCGGGCAGCACTCGGGCTCCCACCTCTCGAGCATGCTCCGCCTCTCCGTCCAGCCGAGCTTGTCAAAGAGTACCCGACATCCGACGAGCTACCGGAACTCCTCCAGAAGTATCTCAAGAAGAGGGCTAGAGGGCATGAAGACACTGCTATTGATACGACGCCCAGCCCTTCCTCACCACTCGAGCCAACCATCACGCGTTCCCCTTCCACCACTTCACATTCGAAGCGGCGGCGGCTTCAGGAGGGCTTCGAAGACGCTATTAAAGACGAGACGGCGAATGTGAGTCCCAAGCGGCGCAAGGTATCATTGTCGCCACTGCATGTGCAGCACTCTCCTTTGCCCGCAGATGCCGCGCAACCCGTGTCTGCGCCGCTTTCGGTGCGTTTGTCGCCCCGAGAGGACGCTACTCGAGGAGAAGATGATCCCACAGCTATCCTCGAAGGGTCTGCCGACTGAGTGTCTGTGCGTCCTATCGACATGCCTGTGACTCAGTCACTAACGCCCACCGGCAGACGCCAAGCGCTAAGCAGGGCTTGTTGCAAGGACAACACTAGGTGTACTTGAAGTACATGATTTGGGTATTAGTAGAACTGGCTCCTCAATGTACTTGCATGTATACGTACGCTATGACACGGTCTGGTCAGTCCGCATGATGTCACGACATTAGGTAGTACAAAAGTCGAGAAAGCCGAGGCCAAGGAGACGCGAAACCCACGTGGGCGCGTCATTGCCCAGTCCTTCACGATAATTCGAAAGTTACATCTCTGTTCCATACCTTCATCATCACTTGTCAGCATTCACTACTGCTCAAAAGGAATATCACCACTCTGCTGTTCAATCCGGACTCTCGTCAATATGTCTGACGACCTCCCGCTTCCAGCGCTGTTTCACCGCGCACTGACATCCCTCTCTTCATCCTCGAATCTCCCGACGCTCTCTGCTGCTTTCAAGGAATCGCTCGGCTCAGCACTTTCAGACTTGACAAAAATCCAAAACAGAGTATCTGAACTGTCGCTCTTCAGCAGCAACGAGACATTGGATGATGTCTCGACGCGCGATTTGGTCTACATGGCCGTCCCCTTCGTGCGCGCGGAGGCGGAGAACAGAGCGCCCGTGCAGGGACGGTCCGATCGACTGGAGCATATGCAACAGGCGGAGGTACGCCTCTCCAACCTTTATGTCTGAGAGTGCCTATTGACACTAGATTGTAGAGGTCGTACAAAGCTTTCATCGAGAACACCGAGCAATATGGCGTCATATCCGAGGAGGATGCGAAGATCTACTCGTTGAGCGGGGCCGCAGATCCTACCAGGAGGAGAGATGCCAAGATCAAGATGTATAAGGCAGAGAAGGACGTGCGCACGCGGATAGAGGTTCGTCGCTTTCTCGTCAATGTGCTGCTACGGATACGCCAATATGAGACGCTAAGCCGCCATAGACCGTACGCAAGCGCACGGGATCCCGCTTCGCTCCACCAACAGCGGACAACGCCAACGACTTTGACTTGTTGGCTGCACTGTTGCCTTCGTCTGCTGCATCGGACGATGATCTCGACAGTGACGTCGAAGATGCATTACGGGAGGCAACTCTGCTACTGCTACGACTCTGCTACGCCCAGGCTCGAACTGCACTAGGACACCTCTCCGAAGAGGTTGCTCTCTTACGATCTGCCCCACCCGAACCAACACCAGAAGAACGAGAGCGCGAGCGCAACCGTGATCGTTCTTCCGACGACGACTGGAAGCTTGATGCGCCGAGGACAGGGCTCGGTCGCGGCGGCCCTCTCCTCGACCCACAAGGCCGCCCGTTACAGCCATTCACGATCCTACCGGGAGGTGATCGCGGACGTATGGCCAAAGCGGTCTTTGGCCCTGACCACCGTCTACCAAGTATGACCATCGACGAATATCTCGAGGTCGAGCGTGCACGGGGTGGGATCATTGAGGGTGGAGGTGCGGCGAGTGCTGCTGAGCCGACGAGTAAGGAGCAGCTTGCGTTGGATGCTGAGAATGATGGCTCGCGGTTCGGGATGGAGAAGGACGAGGAGAAGAGAGTGAAGGATGAGGAGTGGGCGCGGTATACGGATGAGAATAAGAGAGGGGCGGGGAACACTATGAACAGAGGATAGAGCGGACTTGCTGTATGCTCAGGTATATGTATCATCAGGATTGTAGGAATGCCAGGGTCATGACCGGTATTGATTGCACGGGGCATTCAATCCTCGCAGCAAGAGATGGCGCAACGGCCGTTCGAATTCCAGGTATAAATAAATCAAGAGTATACACGAGTCCGGTGAACTTCTACATGCCCGACCTGGAACGCCGTTAACACTGGCATTGTGATGCCTCTGGTACTTCTGCGTTGGCCGGTGTGCTGACATCGATCTCTGCACAGAGTTAAGCGCTTTGCGAAGAGGCTTTCCATAAGCGGACGTACTGTTGCTCGCGTCGGCCGTGGAACTGTCTTTCTCCATTCCTGGCAAGGACATCGCGATTTTCTTGAACAGCGACTTTACGTTGTGACCCGCTTTGGCGGACGTCTCCATGAACATGATGTTCAGTTGTTGGGCTTTCGCGGTAGCCTCTTCCAGCGTGACTTCCCTATGATACGGTCAAGCAGCAGCATCAGCATCTGAGCAGGGTCGAGCCAAAGCGCCACGTACCGCTTGTCCGAGAGATCAGCCTTGTTGCCAACCAGAACAACCATCACATCATTCCCTCGCTCAGACCGGACATCGTCTATCCATTTCGTAGTCGACATGAATGATTGACGGTCTTTGGGCGCCCGTCAGTATCACGCGATGCTCCAAGGCGGTCGGGGGAACGTACTGGTGATATCGAATACAACAATGGCAACGGTGGAGTCGCGGATATATGATGGGATGAGGGAGCGGAAACGTTCCTGCGCACGAGCACGAGCATGAGCGTACTATTCGGGCAGCACCCGAACCTGGTAATGATATAGACGTACCTGCCCCGCGGTATCCCACAGCTGTAACCTCACAGTCCTATCATCCAAATACAACGTCTTGCTCAAAAAGTCGATACCAATAGTCGCCTGATAAGTATTGTCGAAAGTGTCATACATGAACCTGTTCTTAATTACATGAGCCCACGCCCGCCCGCCGCGCCAAATGAGACCACTAGACGCGCCTCGTGATGAGTGATGTCTTGCCGACGCTCTGATCACCGAGAAGCACGATCTTCGTGCGTTTCAGAGTCCCGGAGGACATGTCGCCTACTGGAGTCGTTGGAGTAGCCATCGTCGTTTGAGGTCAGCTCATAGGCACGAGCGCGGAGCGCGTTCAGCAGCGCGGCGCGTTCGGACCGATCAACACGCCACGACTTGATTACTTGAACGTGATTTCGTCAGGGAAATAACCACGAGCGCGGTCCCGAGGAGTCGAGGATCGACGTGCGCTTCGTTCTTGACCACCATCTACCCGCATATCGTGTCGTCGTTCCGTATCGGTTCCATACCCGAGAGCTTTGGTAATCGGAGCATGATGCGGACGGTTGCGGCGAAGACCTTGGCAGATCATGCATCATGCATACCACACGTAGCAGCGAGCGCAAGCCCTGCATTGCGACTTGCGGCCCTTCATGTCAATAGCTGCGACCTTGACACGCCTTGCCGTGCGCACGATTACGCCATACTTATACCCACAAAGCATGTTCATCCACGCATGCAGACGCCAAGCAGTACAGCACCTCGATTTTGATCTGTGTCTCGCATAGCCTCGTGTCCAGTGGACTGCGGATGGTCTTCCTCTACAAGCCAACCGCTTGCCAAAGTAATGCAAGAGGATGGCAGAAGCGACCCACATGAGACGATATACCGACAAGAACGTTCTCTCCTGGAGTGGATCAAGTACTGCACGACACTGCACAATCGCGGGGACCCGCATGAATTCGCCTTTATAAACCTGAGCGATAGCCCGAGGGATTATTGAGATTAGCTTCTTCCCTCTCTTTTCCTCTTTCTGTTTGCTGCTATGGCTGGTCCAGAGCAGCAGTCGATCTCACTGCTTGAAAGAGTCGCGTTGCCGTTGCACATCGAAACGTTTTTCTATGGTACGCGCCTTTTCCTATGCCCGGAGTGGAATGGGTCACTACTGACGACCCAGACCAACAGCGTTATATGTGTTACTGATCACGTACCTCCTTATCCGTCCGTGGTGAGTCGGAAAGAGCAGAGGTTGCACGGAATACCACCAACACTATCATGATCATAGGGCCGCTCGCAGGACCGTAGCGCTCCCATTGGTCATAGTCATCTCGACCTCGATCATGTTCGTCATCTTCTCGCTTTATTGGGCACTGGATGTCTATCTCCTATCGGCAAAGTTCCGCTATCTGCGTACGTTTCCGCTAGTGGATGCCCCCGACATCAGGATACAGCAAGGAACCTGGAGGGGAGTGCCCACAACACGCGGTCTTCCACCGGAAGCTTTCCCTCTGCTCTATGTACAATGGATTTCTCAACTTGCACTGGTGAGCACGCAGGTTCATCTCACATCGTACCACTCTGAACGTTGCTCACAGCTAGTATTGGGCGACTACGTGTCCCTTTGGCGAGCATATGTAGTCTTTGAGAAGCCTAGGTGGCTTTATGCATCCTTCGTGAGCACCGCTGCGATCGAGAGCGGTACGCACTTCCCTTGTGAACGTTGATTCGAACTGAACGTGGGTTTAGCCATCTTCGTTCTGCTATTCATCACTACATCACCGGCATACTTCCCCACCTCACCGGCATTTGCCCGTGTATCGGACAAGGCAAGGGTACCCTTGACGTTCATCGGTTACTCTACCACTGGTGCGGCGCAGTTGACTTCCACGTCATTAATTGCCTACAAGGCTTGGTGAGATATCATGGTATCGTCTAGCCTTGCTGTTCACAACTTCGTCAGGAAACACTGGAAAGATGTTCGGACGATCATAAAGTCTCGAGGCGTCGCTGCAATGACTGTCGCGGCAGAATCTGGGATTGTCTACTTCGCTCTATTGGTATGTCTGAGGGGTATGCATTCCTAATAGGCCTCGTAGTCTGAATGAATGCACAGGCCCAGTATGGATTCACGAGCTTCTTCGGCCCCAAGAACGGCAATTGGAGTGTGGCGGTCTTGAGTAGCTTTTACAGCGTCCCACTAATCGTGCGTGATCTTTTGTTCTACGACGTCAACCGCGCTAACTGGGAGTTTAGGCTATGTATCCGACGTTGCTCGTCGTCCTCGTGGCTTCCAGGCGTACCGTTTTAGAGGAGGCGTCTGTGGGCTCTTTGCATTTTGCATCGAATGAACGCGAGAGCACAAGTCACGCAGTCAGCGACGTCGCCCATCCAGTACTCTCACCCGCTCGCATAAGCTCTGACGAGGCCGAGTCCGATGTGGAGAGGGGATCATACACCGCCGCGTATGATGCCATTGCAGAGCCCGGCGACGCCGAGTTAGCACGGGCAGAAAAGGGACTGACTTCCCGCCCTCCTCCATCACGTTAGTCAACGATGCTTGGACCCATACTCCAAAGCGTGTTATTCATGTGCTGTATCTTCAGACTCGAGATAAATGATTCGTCTATGTTGCGAGAAGGTCCAGGACTTGCTTTGCCGCTGCTAGCCCATGGCACCTGGCGCAGTCAATTCATCGATCTACCACGTGTGCGCCAAGCACGCGCTCGTGTTCGTAGATACCTGCGTGTACAGATGCAGAGGATCGCTGAAGAAGTCGATAGCCCTTGTTAGATACAAGCCCGACCGGCCCAGGGAGAACGGCTTGAAGCTCGAAAGTCCGACGACGGTCGTGCTGGACTGCAAAGTGCAGGTCGTGCTGAATGTTATCCTATCTGGCGCTCTGTTCTCTTCTCAACTTGTAAGGGGTCGTTTGATTGCTGAAGTTGCGGAGGCTCCTACTGTATGTATAAGTGAGCTCGGCCCCGCGCGTTGCGCGTCGGCAGATTCGGACCAATCAGCAGGCGCCATCACTTAAGCGTGATTTCGCCAGGAAATTGTCCACGAGCGTCGAGCGCGGCTCCGAAAACCGATGCGCGCTTTGTCCTTGACGCCCATCTAATTGCAGATCCTGTTCCCGCAGCTCCTATCGGTTTCACGTACAGTCACCCCGAAAATGAGGCGTAGGGAAGTTCCCTTGGCGATATTCTTACTCCATTATACCTTTCGACTGCTACGTCCGGCAAACGCCCGCGCCAGACACGGAACCGCGCCCCTTCATTCGTGTCCAGCCAGTCGCTTTGGGAGAGTGGCGCATGCCCATATCCAGCATTCTCCTAACATCGCGATTCGCAAGTTGTACGTTCACGAAAAGGAGTTCCTCGGATCCCTACGTGCGCCCGAGCATGGATTGCCTACCTCTTCAAGAGCGTCTTGACCCGTGAAGGCATTGTTCCTTCGCCCTCAGTCTCGTATTTCGCATAGCCTCAGTGAAAACGCACTGTGTATTGACTTATCCAATGAAACGTGGCAGTATCATGGCGCCCGTCCATCTGTGCACCAGTTGCGCCCTCCCTGAATCCCTGACGCGAAGCGCTGAAGTCTTTGTTCTTCTTGATTTCCCCATACAGGCAGGAGCAAAGCTCGAAACGAACCTTCGTTACTGTGCAAGAACTAGAATGGCCGGGCATCGTTCATATCATAGTTCTCCCGCGTCTCTTGTATAAGAATCAAGAGCACTGGCGATGAAATAGCAAGACTGGTCTCTTCATCTTCTTTTCGTTCCGCGAGTTGCTGCCATGACTGGTTTATTGGAGCACTGGATCTTCTCGCTTCAGAGACTCGCATTGTCGTTGCTTATTGAGACGTTCCTCTTTGGTACGCCCGACGCCCTATCCTCATGATCTCGCCGCTGACCAGTTACTTCCTCTCGCAGCGCTATATGTCGTACTTATCGCGTACCTCTTGTTTCGTCCATGGTGAGACCCTGTGTATCGACGTCACCGGGTACACCATTGACCGTACGATAGGGCCGCTGGAAGGACCGTTTCTCTCCCGCATGTGATAATCATCACAACTCTGGCAATGTTCGCCCTCTATTCACTGTATTGGTCGCTGGATGTCTACCTTCTGTGGGCCAAATTCGACTATCTGCTGTTACCTCAACCGGCGAGTGCACCTGGCATAAGCATAACGCAGGCATCTTGGAAAGGTGCGCCCACGACGGGCGGTCTTCCACCGGGATCTTTCCCGATGCTCTTTGTCCAATGGCTTACTGGGATGATATTGGTTAGCATACACGCCCACCATAAATGTCTCATGCTGAACGTGCTGCGTAGATCGTGCTCGGGGACTTTGTCTCGCTGTGGAGAGCGTGGGCAATATTCGGGAAGCCTAGGTGGCTATATATCGTGCTTGTGAGCACCGCTGCGATTGAAAGCGGTACGTCTCGCATTCCTGGAGGCAGTTAGCTCTGATTGATCATGATGTAGCCATCTTCATCATGCTATTTGTTAGTACTTCACCTGCATATCTTCCTACCTCTTCAGCGTTCGCTCGCGTCTCGGCCAAAGCCAGGGTTCCCCTCACATTCCTTGGATACTCAGTGACCGGTCTGGCTCAGATATCCGCCACGTCTCTGATAGCCTACAAGGCTTGGTACGAGGACGTCTGCCTATCTCTTAGCTGTCTTGCTCACCGTGTCCCAGGGCACATTGGAGGGATGTCCGGGAAGTCGCGAAGTCTCGCAACGTAGCCGCGCTGGTCGTCGTGATCGAAACGGGGATCGCCTACGTACTCTTACTGGTGAGGCCTTTGATGTGCGACTTGCAGTATGTTCTTTGCGCTGAACAAAGTGCACAGGCATTCTATGGTTTCGTAGACTTCTTCGAACCCAAGAACAGCGGTTGGAACGTGGCGAGCGTAGATAGGTTCTACAGCGTACCACTCATCGTACGTTGCATTTGCCTTTGCTTATTGTATCCCGCCATGATGGCTCATTGAAGACAATGCAGGCTATGTATCCGACGCTGGTCGTCGTTCTCGTAGCTTCTCGGCGCACTGTGCTGGAAGAAGCAAGCACCGGATCCTTGGGCGATATGCAATTTGCGACGGGCGTAGTCAACAGAACAGAGAGCGTGAGTCACATTCGCGACGTGGGGCGAACAGCGCATACGACGAATCGCGAAAGCTACGACTCAGAGTATGATATAGGCAGGGTAACGGGGGGTGCACGCGATGCTGTGACATCCAACGGCGAGGAACTAGCACCGATGGAAAAGGGGATGGTGTTCCCCATTGGTCCATCGCGCTTCTCAGTGGTCTAGCGATGGCTTGTCGTGCACTCTATGATGTGGGCGCATTTGTCCCACTGGAACTACACTACCAAGTCCCTTTCGAAGGTTCGATATCTCTGTGCCGTCGTAACGACCCCTCTACAGGCACACTTCCGCCTCTTTTAGGCTTCTTGCACGAGCATGTTAAGGATACGAGTATCTTCTCCTGTAGTATTCTACTCAGAAAAGATATACGTAGCGATGTTTGTCTGACAAGTAGGTATCATTGTGTATATAGGCTCACCTCAGGAATCTTCCGCTCATACTCATCCACTCCACCCGACGAATTACGAGCCACCCGAGACGAAGATATGGATGCGGTCCGCAAGCATGACCTCGCTACGAGAGGAGGGATTCATTCTGTCTATCAGAAGTGGCGGGGTAGCCATCGCCATTCATGAGGGCAGGTCATGCTTGACGTCGCGACGTGTCATGATCAACTGGCGGTGAGCATGTTGAGCCGCGGCTGCCGGCCTGTCGGTCCGATCCATGTGTTGATCGCGAATCCGTCCTGTGCATCTTGTTTCCGACTTCCACCTGCCTGCCTCGTCGCTATCTGATACACTCCCACTCCAATCAGAAGTGTCGGGATCAGTTCTAGATGACTATGCCGCATGAGCTGCACACCCTGAATGTCCATCAAGCGCAAGATAAGTTACGTTCCCATTTATCAGTTATGGCCTCCGAGTCGCATCTGCGGCCATTGCTCCAGATTTCACGATCTTGGGTCTTCAAAAACCTCTCTCGAGTCTCAACCTCATGTGTTAGACGATCCTGCGCGTGTGCTCTCCCGAGCCTGCCTGAGCTGAAGTGTCAGCCCTTGTGAGTGTTACGGCAGATTCATGAGAACGCCTGTACACGTACGGCTAGATTCTATATCGGCTCATGCTCGTGAGGATCTACACCTTGAGATCCGTGTCTAAGACGCAGCCACGTACTGATGCCCACCTCGCGGATAGCTAGGCACGGCATTGAATGAGGTGAACATCACAAGCTTGTACTGATGCTGCCTTCTTACCTGTTTCACATCAGTGTTCTCCCGCCCTCTCGAAGTACAAAGCGCCAAAGCGCGGCATCGACACAACATGAACGAGTCGATTCGAACTTTGTAGCTTGAGTCGCTATGGACGACTCCGCCGCACAAGGTGGCTCTGTGGCCACCTCGGTCATTGAGAAGCTCGCCTTCTCGTTGCTAGCTGAGACGTTCCTCTTCGGTACGCACTACACATCCGCGTCACCAACTTCCCTGCTAACTACAGTCTCAATATCCTAGCGCTTTACACAATCCTAATAGCATATCTCGTATGCCGACCGTGGTAAGTTGCCAAAACGCACCATTATCTTTATCTGTGCAGGACTAATCGAGAACTCCGTACAGTACAACTCGCAAAGCTGCATCCCTCCCATCGTTCATGCTTCCATTCACGCTTTCAATGTTTGTCCTGTATCTGCTCTACTGGACTCTCGACGTCTATCTTCTATGGGCGGAGTTCGATTCATTCCTTTCACCTCCCCCTAAAAACGTCGAAGGACCAAACATACAAAACGTACACTGGAAAGGAGCGTCCTCGATCAACAAGGATGGGCTCGCACCAAAGTACTACGCGACCGTATACGTTCAATACATCGCGCAACTGACTCTGGTGAGTGTTGTGTTGGATTCCGCCGCCCTCCCGCTCAAGATAATACAGATTGTACTGGGCGATTTCGTGTCGCTATGGAGAGCGTTCGTGATCTTCGGAAAGCAAAAATGGTTGTATATGCTTCTTATAGGCATTGCCGGGGCTGAGAGTGGTATGTCCTCTCCTTTCTTAAGGTAATCCATATCAGTGTCACTGACATGTAGATGAAGTCACCTATGTCCTGATCTTTACAAGCTCTTCGACGGAGTACATATCCTCTCCCGTTTCGGGTCTTGTCAATGCGCTGGCTGAAGCGAGAACTCCTCTTACTTTTATCGGGTACTCTGTAAGTGGCCTGGCTCAAGCGGCATCTACATCGTTGATCGCATACAAAGCTTGGTGCGGTCGTCAGTTATCTCGAGGTTATGAAGCTGATCAAATATAAGCAGGGTGCACTGGAGAGACGTTCGAGAGTTTATGGACCGATCCACCAAGCGTCGAAGTCTCACTGCGCTAGCAGTCATCATTGAATCGGGTATCGTCTACCTGGGTTTATTGGTGCGCGTCACTATCCAAACGTTCTCAAAACTCGACCTCATTGATATAACATCCAGATATGGTATGGCGCGATCAATTACTGGGGGGCGCCCGATTCATTAGCGGTCTACACATGCAGATTCTACATTGTTCCTCTTATCGTGTGTAGTCTCTTCAAGTGTCCTGCACCGCTACTGACCGAAGTCGCGAAGGCCATGTACCCCACGTTAGTGGTCGTTATCGTGGCGTCTCGGCGCTCCGTGTTAGAGCGCAGTATCGTTCCCAAGGCGCAAGTCATGGAGACTGCACCTCCCGTAGAGGTCAACCTACCAGATAGTCGCGAGCGCACCTATCGCGCTCGCTCCACTGTACGGTTGACTTTCATATCTCTCGATAAGGAACCTGTGGAAGGAGATGGGATCTGTGGTAGTGTGGGGTTCCCGTACGGTTTTGCGCGAGAATCTGACCACGATACCGGCGATGCCTAGATCAGGGTGACAAGGAAGATATGAGGTCATGACTATTACTAGCGGATTCGTGTGTATGTGTGCTGCATTGGATGTAGAACAAGCATATGCGGATAAGGGAAGGGTTTTCACTAGCCATTCAACGCTCGTCGCGCGGGTTTGTTGCAAAGTCTTGCGCTCCGTGAGAGACGCTAAGCGCGTTTAATTAGCGGCCAGCACTTCGGTCCGATTAACATGCAAGTTTGGTCGTGAACGTGTGAGCCCCGGGCTGCGCGCGTTATGTTCAACCATCACCAGTTCGCAGAGAAGTGCAATCGCCGCGTTCGTTCAGAGATAGCGCCCAGTCAACAGTGGCGGCGGCATGTTCGGATCGATCACTGCGCTGACCTCAGCACGATTTTGTCAGGAATTGCCCACGAGCTGACGAGCGCGACTCCGAGGACCGACAGGGACCGACGCGCGCACTGCACTTTGGTCTTGACCACCATCTGCCCGCATATCATATCGCCGACTTGAATCAGTTTCAAACTGAAAGCTGTGGCAGGCGGCGCAAGATATGGGCCGTCGTGGCGGAGACCTTGGGAACGGGTCTCCTCCATATTGTACCGTCAATCGCCGCATGCCGTGGTCGGAAGTCAAGCCCTACGTCGGATTTGCATTATTTCATGTCCAAATCGGCGAGCTTGTCAGCCCTCCGCAGACTCCGGGCACCTGATTATACCACGCCCATGGCATCAAGAGAGCATCTATCTGCACAAAGGTAGCCCATCTTTGCTGTCATCCGTATCTGGCATAGCCTCCATCATCAGTCCACGTATGGGCTTGCTTGACAAGCTCTCCACATACCAAATGCGCACGAGGTCAAATCAGAAGACTCGTTGGCAACGGACGTTTGTCTCTCTTGACCGTATTCAATACTGCGCAACACTGCTCAATCATGGTTGACCCGCATCCCATCTCTATAAACCTCAGCGAGCGCCTGAGGCATTGCTGAGGTTGACTTCTTCCCCTCCCTCTCCTCTTGCGGTAGCTGCTATGGCTGGTCCAGAGCAGCAGTTAATCTTACCGCTCGAAAGAGTCGCGTTACCGTTGCACATCGAAACATTCCTATATGGTACGCGCCAGTTTCTTTGCTCAGAATTGGTCACTCACTGATGACTCTGCCCCGCAGCATTATATGTCGTACTAATCACGTACCTTCTGATTCGCCCATGGTAAGTCTGAACAGACAGACATCGCAAGGAATGCTGGTAACACCATCACAGGGCCGCTCGCAGGACCGTAGCGCTGCCATTGGTCATAATCATCTCGACGTCGGTCATGTTCGTCATATTCTCGCTTTATTGGGCACTGGACATCTACCTCGTAACGGCCAAGTTCTATTATCTGCGCACGCCCGAACTGGTGGGTGTCCCCGGCATCCAGATACAACAAGGGTCTTGGAGGGGTGTGCCATCAACAGGGGGTCTTCCACCGCAATCCTTCCCTCTGGTTTACGTGCAGTGGGTTTCCCAACTTGTACTGGTATGCATCAGATTCATCTCCCACTATACCACACCATTCACGTCCCGCAGTTAGTATTGGGTGACTATGTGTCTCTCTGGCGAGCGTGGGCGATCTTTGGGAAGCCTAGGTGGCTCTACGTATCCCTTTTGAGCACCGCTGTGATCGAGAGCGGTACGCGTTTTCTTTTTAAACGTTGATCGAACTGAACACCGCTCAAAGCCATCTTCATCATGCTATTCATCACTACATCACCGGCATACTTCCCCACCTCGGCGGCGTTCGCCCGTGTATCAGCCAAGGCAAGGATACCCCTGACGTTTATCGGTTACTCTATGACTGGTGCGGCCCAGTTGGCGTCCACGTTGTTGATCGCCTACAAGGCTTGGTAAGATGGGGTTCTTCGTCTGGTCGTCTTGCTCAGAACTCAACAGGGCATATTGGAAGGATGTTCGGACAATCGTGAAATCTCGACACGTCGCTATACTGATTGTCGTGGTAGAGTCTGGGATCGTCTACTTTGTTTTACTGGTATGTATGAGAGATATCCCTTCAATACACCATGTTGTCTGAGCGAACGCACAGGCTCAGTATGGGTTTACGAGCTTCTTTGACCCGAAGAAGAGTACCTGGAGTGCGGCGGTCTTGAGTAGCTTTTACAGCGTGCCGCTCATCGTGCGTCATCACTTGTCGGACTTCATCAGCAGACTGATTGATAGTTGCAGGCTATGTACCCGACCTTGGTCGTCGTTCTTGTGGCTTCCCGACGCACCGTATTGGAAGAGGCGAGCGCTGAAGTGTCTGTGGGCGATATGCGTTTCGCGTCGAATAGACGCGAGAGCACAAGTCACGCAATCAGCGATGTCGCTCCCACAGTACTCACGCTCGTTCGCGTAAGCTCCGAAGAATATGAGCCCGACATGGATGGGGAATCGTACACCGCACACAGTGCTGTTGAATCTGGCGGCGGCGAATTATCAAGGACTGAAAAGGGGCTAGGTTCTCGCCCTCCTCTGTCAGGGTAGTCCACATTGCTTGCACAGATTCAGGAGCGGATTATACATGTACTTTCTCCTCAAATGTAGTGTGTGGCACGATATCGATATTGCCTCTATCAGCTGTGAGAAGGCCCCGCTCCGCGGCTGAGTCGTGCTGCTGGTTGATATGATCGTGTGAATTGCTCGGCTTGCGCTGGGCTATAGTATATCTCATCTGGCGCCCTGTCTGTCTAGACGCGCAAGGGAACATTTCCATGAGTGGAGTCGCAGCTGCTCTCGTCGTTGAGGTCAAGCCGCTGTCTGGCGCGCGGCGGTAACTCGGACCGATCAGGATCCGTGAGCGCGTGAGCGCGGTTGCGATGGCGCTTCGCTATGAGCCACCATATGCCTTGTCTGGACCTGTTCGCTAGCCCCCATCTGTCTCATCATACCTGGGGCGCAGATGCTACCTAGCCATGCGCTGCTCCCGAGCGAAGGCACGTTTGAGCAAGAACCGTCATCACAGTTCCCACTTCCAACACTTTTTAATCGAGACGCTTGAATTCGCCCGCTCATACCCATCCATCGCCACTCACAACAGCATCTCTCCAAGGGCGCGGTTGCGATACATCGCTTAGTGCATGAGGAGGGTTCTACTCTAGCCGCTCTTCAAGTTGAATTGTACGCCGGGGCCAGCCACCGCAGCGCCCGAAGGTCCATTCATCAGTCTGCGCACAAAGCTCATCAGCTAGTACGTGGCCCTGCGGCAGCGCTAATCTCGTATCTGCGCCTCTGTTGGCTCGGCTACGATAACAATGAACCTTCCTTACCGGAACGTCGTGAACTCGTGACAGCTGACACGTCGATGTCAGTTAAAGCCCTACTGTTATAGGCTCTGAGGCGCTACCGTGCTGTTCAGATCATGGCTCTCCCGCCTACGCCCTTCATAAGCCTCAGAACAAAATGCAGAACATCAGGGTTCTTCGTTTCATCCCTTTTTCTTCTAAGCGTTGAACGCTACCATGGCTGATCGAGCGGGTATCGAGGTCATCCAGGTCGAGAAACTTGCATTTTCTTTGCTTGGCGAGACATATATTTTCGGTGCGTTCTAGACTGTGTGCTTATGGGTCGGCGACTGACAGGAACCGATTGTAGCTCTATACGCGGTCCTCATAGGGTATCTTGTCGTTCGCCGACGGTAAGCGTTGCCGAACAGACTATGAAGAGCCAACCGAGTGACGCTGGGCAAATCAGGGCTGCTCGCAGGACCATTACTCTTCCCGTCTTCATCCTCGTTTTCACCCTCACCATGTTCATCGTCTACACATTGTACTGGACGCTGGATGTCTATCTTCTTTGGGTCAAGTATCAAGCGGTACTTCGATTGCCTCAGCTGAAGAGGGCCGCTACTCGTGCGCTCGCTACGCAGATGCACCTGAAGGGAGCGCCATCCACGGATGGACTTCCTGCGGAGTCCTATCCGGTCCTCTTCGTCCAATGGTCTTCCGGTTTGACGCTGGTCAGCATACACACTACCTCGCGTGTGCACCATCTGACCAGTCGAGACTAGATCGTGCTGGGCGACTTCGTATCGCTCTGGAGGGCATGGGTGATATTTGGAAAGCCTCGTTGGCTGTACGTACTCCTTGTATGCGCGGCTGCAACCGAGAGTCGTATGTACTGTCATCTCTTCGAGAATGGACGCTCTGAACCATCGACTACAGTTATCTTTGTCATGCTATTCATTAGCACAACGCCGGCATTCTTCGCAGTATCTCCCACATTCTTGCGAGCGACGTCCAAAATCCGGGTTCCTTTGACATTCTGCAGCTATTCTTCAGCCGGCCTTGCTCAACTTGGCTCAACATCTTTGATAGCTTACAAGGCTTGGTACGAGAGCTTCCCTCTCATTAGCCACCTGTGGCGAGGCTCATTATCGTTGGCAGGGCTCAATGGAGAGATGTGCGAGCGTTCATGCAAAGATCAACGATACCTCGCTCCGTCGCTGTGATGCTCATTGTCATTGAATCGGGTCTCGTCTACATAGCCTTGCTGGTGAGCGTTGCTTCTTACTTACTAGTGAGTATCATCTTAAGAAGTCATAGGCCTGGTACGGGTTCATCGATTTCTTCGGGAAAAAGACGTGGATCGTGGTGAGCACGTGTCGATTCTACAGCATTCCCCTCGTTGTGAGTCCACTTGTGCCACACGCCTACTGTGCGTGCTGACTAGTGAGATGCCAGGCAATGTACCCGACTCTGGTGATAGTTCTCGTGGCTTGTCGGCACTCCGTGTTGGAGCCTAGCGTCGCATCCACGAACTCTTTGGATGAGGTGCATCGCACAGGGCGCCCGACAGTTAGGCAGCAAGACACGAACCGTATCCGCTACCCTACCTTCGTCATTCCCCACAAGAACCTGGATGACTGGGAGATCGATCTTGACGGAGATTCGACGATGCGCCCCACGAGCGATGGTTCCACCGACGATGGACTAGCTCAGATGCGACACAAAGACGTGCCTCAAGCAGCGACGTCTACCGCCCCATCGAGCTCGTATCTCTCGATGGTCTGAAGGACATTTGATTGTGGACACTTCATGGGATTGGTTGAACTTTTGCTACATCTTCCTCACCGGGACGCTAGGCGTACCGTACCTACTTGCTTCCCGTTGCTACGTAGATTCATCTCCCAAGACGAGTTTCACTGAACGGGCATGGCTTGCAAATCTATATGATGCTAAAAGTACAATTGCGTGTGGGGGACATTGGATATGTAATGGGGCTCATGCGTGCACAGAGCTGTCCTGGATCTGCTGGCCGTCGATGACATCGTGCTTTGGCCTACCCTTCCCCTCGTCGCCGTTAACACCCCCGCCCATCGCCTCAGCATCTGCGTCCGACTTGGGCACCTTCGTGAAGTGCTCGATCGGCTCGCGCGTGTGCAGCTCGATCTCAGTGTCAATGTTCTACAGGTAGCAGTCAGCACATGCACGTGAAGAAGTGCGGTAGAGCAGCGTACCTGCGGCGGGCGATTGAAGAACTCGTCGTTCAGGCTGTGGTCCGTCGTCTCCGGGCGGCCAACCTCCTGATGGGTCTTCTTGAACTGAGCGTCCGAAGTGTTCTTCGTGCCGTGGTTCGTCATGATGATTGGTATAGAGCGAGGTGGGTAGAGACGTTCGTGAGTGTGAATTGGTTGTGGTGGTGAATGGTACTTCGCCTCGAGTTTCCGTCGCCGGTATATATACGTGCTGAGTCGTTACTCCAATACCCTCACATCTGTAGGGAGTGGACTGACGTCGCCTCGCCGCCGGAGACGTTCACGATGAAATCATAGGGAGCGCAATCGGAAGAGCAAACATCCGCGCCGCAAGACGCGGGATGGCTGTGGCGCGAACATTGATCGCTGCGCCGAGCAGGCAACTTCCATTTACGTGTCGATAACCTCGGACGGTCTGGAACCTTCGGCGAGAGTGGCGAATGTGCAAGAGCGCATACTTATACATTTCATTTACCAGAGCTACTGTACACGGTCATACGAATTTGACCCTATTCAAGGAATGACGGAATCACCAGTGACCGAAGACGCCACGCGGCTGGTAGGGCTCCTCAAGCGCCTTGATATCCTCGTCGCTCAGCTTGATGTTCACCGAGCCAATGAGCTCTTCCAAGTTCTTAAGGCTCGTCGTGCCGACAATGGGCGCCGTCGTCTTGGCCATGACCCACGCGAGGGAGACCTGCGCCATGCTCATGCCGATCTTCTTCGCCACCTCTTCAGTGCGGTTGACTACGGCGTTTGTGGCGGGCGCCTCGTATCCCTTCTGGAACTGATCGGTCTCCTTGCGTGTCGTGCTTTGCGACAGCGGGCGCGTAAGCACGCCGCGGGCAAGCGGAGACCACGGGATACAGCCCACTCCGAAGTGGTCGAGAGTCGGCTGCATCTCGCGCTCTTCCTCACGGTACGCTGGCGAGACGATGAGCAACATGGAGGGACAGGCATTATGAAGGGGACGCACCGAGATTGTAGTGGTTCTGCATGCTGATAAACGGCGTAAGCTTGTTCGCGATGGCATAGTTCTGCATAGCGTGGACTGTGGGCAGTCAGTGAAAGGTTCCCATTGCAAGAGCGAGATCGCGCACATTGCCAGGCATAGCAGCTGCTCATGCCGATGTACCGCACCTTGCCGCTCTGTACGACGTCGTGCAGAGCCTGCATGGTTTCTTCGATTGGGGTGTCATAGTCGAAGCGATGGCACTGAAGTACATCGATGTAGTCGAGGCCGAGGCGCTTCAACGAGTGGTCCACGCTCTCGAAAATGTGTTTGCGCGAGAGGCCGCGCTGGTTAACGTAGCCTGCCGCGTCGATCTCTGCGGGCGACATGCTATCGAGAAGCGGTCAGTCAAGTGCAGACGACACAGACACCGAACGATTGCCACTCACGCGAACGTCCCGAGCTTCATATCGCGCGCAACCGTGAAGTAGACCTTGCTAGAATCAAGGTTAGTGAGGTTCGTAGGGTGCATAGTTCCGAAGCTTACGTCAGAACGACGATCTCGTCGCGGTTCATGTTGAACTGCTTGATTGCCTTGCCCAGAATCTCCTCGCTACGACCGTTCGAGTACACGTTCGCGGTGTCGAACGCGTTGATGCCGTGGTCGTACGCGTACTTGATGTGCTTGAGCGACTCCTCCTCATCAAGCACCCAGCCCTGCCAGTCGGGCGTGCCGTACGACATGCAACCCAAGATGATCTGCTCGTCGTCAACACAAATCTGCGAGCGATCTTTCCAGTGCGGCATACCTTGGACACCTTCAACCCGGACTTGCCGAGACGAACTACAAGCGCAATCGGATCGGGAACGTCACGCTGGGCGCCTGTTCATTGGACGCACCGTAAGGCATGTTCTTGCGGGTGACTTCGGTGGCCATTGTGATCGATGTTGGGGAGGAGATGGTGGTCGAAGATGACTCCGGAGCGGCGAGCTTTTAAACTGCGATAGCAGTCTACGTTGGAATGCGATCCGCGACTCAGCGGGCCGCGGACGGCGACCCACATGTTCAATCGACGGGAAGCTACGACCCACACAGTGTGAAAGTCATCCACAGTTATCCACCGACCATCCGATGGATAGGGTAGGCTGTTGCCGTACTGAGGCAACACTCATAGTAGGACGTGCGTGGGAAAATGATATAGTCGATGAGGTGGACATAAGCAGACCCGACAAAAAGTCGCGTTTACTGGGATGTGTACACATGGGCGGCGTCAAGACCAACACCTAAGCGCACAGCGCCCACCGCGGAGGGAAGGAGTTTGACTGGCTGATGGAAGTCGAGAGCAAGTTACGAAGGAGCCTGACGTGCTCGACGTCCTCCGGACATATCGGCGCTGCGCGCGGTAGACGCGCCGCGCTCGTTCGCAGCTCGCGGCGATCTGCATCTGAGTTCCTAACCACGATCACGTCTCAATTGAAGCTGCCCGATGAAGCTCGCAGACAAGCTTGCTTCTGCGGATAAGCCGTTCTATACCTTTGAGTTCTTTCCGCCACGTACAGACCAGGTTGATATCGCCGTCTTGTCATGAAATCCTGCATGGCTTCTCAAAGCTCGAATACAGGGCTTCTCCAATCTATTACCCCGTATCGGCCGCTTAGCACAACTCAAGCCACAAGCTGTCGCTATCACCTGGGGCGCTGGAGGCTCGACGAAAGACCGCTCGCTTGATCTTGCTTCTCTCACGCAAAGAGAATATGGAATCGATACGGTGCTGCATCTGACATGTACGAACATGCAACAAGGTTTGGTGGACGACGTTCTGCGAGTACGTACTTCTACGCTTCGTACTCGTATGACGCTCTGATATACCACCTTTTAGGCAGCGAAGGCACTAGGCGTACAGAACATCATGGCGCTCAGAGGAGGTACGCCGCGTCGTTCAACTGATCTGGAGTACTTCAAGCTTAGTCGAGATAGACCCTCCTCGTGGCGAAGAATACTGGATGCCAGCAGATCCGCGCTTCAAGCGTGCTCGCGACCTCGTCTCATACATTCGCAGTACCCCAGAGTTCGCGGACCATTTCTCCATCGGCGTGGCAGGTCTCTCCTCCTTTCACCCACTTCCCATTTCGTCGCCGTAGCTCTTTCAGCGAGCCCTTACGTGTCCGTAAACAGGTTATCCGGACGGACATACGGACTCTGTCGTAAACACGATGTCGGAAGAAGAGGAGATCAAGTACCTCAAGGAGAAAGTGGATGCCGGCGCCGATTATATCGTGACACAACTGTTCTACGATGTGGATAACTTCTTGCGCTGGCTGAAGCGTATTCGTGATGCTGGTGCGCACACATAGCTGCGATGTCGTTTGTACTTGCTGAAGAGGCTTCAGGTATCACCGTACCCGTCATTCCAGGCATCATGCCTCTTCAGACCTATGCTTCATTCCAGAGGTTGACCAAGTTGACCGGCGCGCACATCCCCGCTGAATTGCACGCGCAACTTGAGCCGATCAAGGTACGCGTGCATAGCATCTACATGCTCCATCGGGTACTTATTCCGCCACATAGACTGACGACCAAAAAGTCAAGGACTCCGGTGTCTCACTTGCCATCTCCATGATCAAGCGACTGAACGAGTCCTCTGATGTTCGTGGCTTCCACTTCTGCACCCTCAATCTGGAGAAGAGCGTACAACGGATCCTAGACGCCCTTGGCTGGTCATCAGGCGCTTCGCGCGCGCAGAACAAGCTCATCACGGTACGTGGATATCTGATCTTAGTTTTGCTGTCTGTCAGAAGTGCTGACGACCCCAATAGGAACATGACGGCGCTCGCGGAGATCCTCAAAAGCCCTTCCTCTTGGTTACCCCCGCCGAAGCCGCCACCTCCCTCCAAGATTCCAAAGCACCAAAGGGCGAGCTTGGGAAGGGGGAAGTCGTAAACGCGAGCGCGTGGGATGAATTCCCGAATGGACGCTTCGGCGACGTCGCCTCTCCCGCGTTCGGCAACAGCAACCAATGGGGTGGCTACTCGTTCTCGAATCATAACCGAAACGTATGGGGCGCGCCGCGCTCGCTGGAGGATATTACGAACATCTTCCTCGCGTTCCTCAAGGGCGATATCAACGCATTCGCATTCTCGCCCGTGCCGCTGTCATCGGAGACGGCGCTTATCTTGCCACATCTGACGAAGCTCGCCGAACGAGGCATGTGGCCTGTTGGTAGTCAACCGGCGATTGATGGAGCGCGGTCGGACGACGAGACCGTCGGGTGGGGACCGAGTGGCGGCTACGTCTACCAAAAGGCCTTCGTTGAGTTCTTCTGTACGGACGACATGGCCGACGCGCTGGAGAAGAAGGTTGCGGAGCATGGACATGGAGTCGTGGACTTGTTGATGGCGCAAGCGGAAGGTGGAGAGGAGGAAGGCCATGGATTCGTCGAGCGCTTGCAGGGAGATCGCAACGCAGTAACATGGGGCGTGTTTCCTGCGCAAGAGATCGTGCAGAGTACAATGATAGAGTCAGAGAGCTTCCTATCATGGAAGGCGCGTCGCTTCCGTCCCCCACCAGAGTCTTCATGGAACTCACTGACCCATATAGGACGAAGCCTTTGCAACATGGTCTGCCTGGGCAGCGCTGTTCCCACCTGATGCACCCGAACGCACATTGCTGGAACGAGTTCGCAGAAAACGCTGGCTCGTCAACGTGACACATCATGACTACAAGGATGCTGATGCCCTATGGAGGTTCTTGCTCGATGATTGAGTAGTAGAAATGTGTCAATAGTAGCCGTAAAGTGTAATCATCACATAGTGTCTTATCTGTAGACACGCGGATCCTACGGAAGTTGAACTTCATCTACTCCTTCCTTTGGTATTGTTGACGTCGGTTTCTTGGCTGGGGATGCACGCTTATGATCGATGGCTGACAGTACAAGCGGTGACGGAAAGTCTTTGAACACTACCGCGGGGTGTCGTCCGCGTGGCCCCCGCGTGCCGCTGCTCGGACTGTTCAAACACTTCTGGTCACCGCTTGTAGAAGGCTAATGGGCACGATTCATTAAGGTATATTAAACTTCAGGCGATAAAGTATTAGGAAGCTGATACGCTAGGGGTAGGTGTGAGGAAATCCGCGTGTAACGGGGAACGATCTATATGGTGAAGAGTATTGGTGACGTGTTGAAAGGCGAGGTTTCGCATGACGATCTCGCTCTTCTCGACTGGGACCTCCGTCCAGAGTATGGCAACGTCGCTCTCCATCTTGGCATGATGTTCAGTGACGTGGTCATGTAAAGGAGAGAGGCATTCACCTTCGCAGCACACGCACGTAGCGCAATGCGCAGTTCAGAAGTGACCTTGGCGACAAGACGCTCGAGGTCGGCCATTGTGCCGTCTGCGACCATGGGAAATGCAGCAGGTGCGAGCAAGTTAAGTTGCTCGAGGAAAGATCCTTTCATCCGCTTCATGAACCCATCTCCGCGAGGAGTGGTCCGAGAGCTTGCGTACGCGTCGCGCAACCCGGCCTTAAGTTTGGCGGCCATATCGCGAGTTATAACCTTCTGGCCCTCGTTAAGCTCCGTTTGCGCAGCCTCCAGAGCCGCTAGTATGGCAAGTTTGGCGTTATCCTCTGCTCGCTTTGCAAACTCCTTAACCTTCCATGCAACCTTCAGCGCACGCATCTCGGCATCTTGTGTCGCCAATTTCCTGGCGGACTGCAAAGCGTCCGATACATGGTCGGTAAGTTCACGTCTGATCCGCGAATTGAGCCGTGTCGGGTTCTCTTGCGCGAAGACCTGCGCCCATGGAAGCGCGATGTCATCCCTGATTGGGGCGACAAAGCTCTTGTTCCAATCGCCACGAAACGCACCATCGCGGCGCATAACTTGATCAAAGAGTTTGGGAGCCAAGTTAGCCCTGGACGTCGCTTGTTACGATGAAATGTGACCTACCGGCTAAGAAAGTATTCCATCGTAGAAGATCTCCCAAAGTTCTGTACGTCTCTTCACATCTGTGTGCCGCCTAAGATGAAGATAAGCCACTGGTTAGACAAATCGGCGTGATGCGAGACAATGCACATTATCAGAAGCCTCATGTATGCGGTCAGCTAACGCTTGTAAAAACGCCCCCGTCAGCTCGACACCAAACTGATTCGCAATGTGCTCAAATCCCTATAACGAAGCTTTGAACACCCGGAACTATGCAAGACAAATCATGGAAGAAGCGTACTGCGTATGCTTGTGTACAGATCCCACGATCACCTATTCATTATTTAGACATGTCAAATGGCTCGGACGACACCGTTTAGCTCACCTAGGATACTCTCCTCCAGTGAAGCACTACTCAGCTTGATCTTCAAACGCGCTATGCACATGTCATATCGCTCTTCTTCGTTCGGAAGACCTACTCTGAACATGCTGGTCGAGTCGAGGAAGGAGCGTATGTGAAGCGTATGCGACCTCACGCGCTCCATGTATAGTCGGAGGGCTTTGCGTCTGTGTTGAACAACGAGCTCGTGGAGACGGTTGTGCAGAGTGACAATGCCGGCTTCATCACGACCACGAATTGGTGCCCATCCAGGGTCATCTGAGATACGGTTAGCCCAGCCACACGAGAAAGATGATACGGAAACAGAACCCACGCTGGATGACCCGATATGTCACAACACTCGTGCAAATGGCGACTGGGAGCGAACGGTTGTCGTGGTCATCGCCGGTGAGTGCAGAGATCGCATGAGCAAACTGTCGCGGCCAAACTTGTTCAATATTCTACGACACGAGGTCATGTGTCAGTCACGGTCACGGCACGCGCAGGCAGTAGCAGAGCTAGCCTCACCTCGAGCCTTTCAACAGCGGCCAAGCGATGTATCATTGGCCGTATTGGGATCTGCTGCTCCAGAAGATCTCTGAACTGCTTTTGGAGACCGTCGACGTACTCTTCATGGCTTTCAGCATCGTCACCTGTTGCTGTATCCATGCTACGTCCTAAGTCGAAACTGCCAGACGTATGACGCCTCTTGGAGGACGATTCGGCGCCATGAGGGGAGGGACGGCGCCGTTTGCGTGTATCGGCTATGAACGATGAACTCAATGCCGATCAAACAGAGCCCGCGCGATGAGCTTACTGCTGACCAATCTGGATTCTGCCTTTGTCGCCTTCTTGATGGCCCTGTCAAGCCTATCGATCTGTGTTTGAAGGCCCCGATATAGATCCTTGACCTTCTTGATCTCATCGTCGTCGCCCTGACGGGCCTTCGCGTACCGAAGAGCATTATCACCTTGCGTCGCTAGAGGGAGACTAAAATCAGCAGTCTGACCGGAGTAGATACACATGCACCTTACCCACGAGCGTCACATTGAAACCACTAGGATATGTCAGAGGGAAACAAGTTCATTATAGATCGAGGAGCGCACTTTTGATCTGCATTCACAGGAAACCGCCTCATCAGTAGGATTGCCCATCGAAAACCGGAGTCAAGCTAGAGTTCTCACCCACTATTTGACGCGTAGATTAGAACACATTTCAAAGACACGTCGGTGAATGCTCACTGATGATCTGCTTGATGCCTGTTGACACGGGACTTGCGCTATTGAAGAGTCCTGCGCGAGATAGTCAATGGCCTGTTTGTCGCTTACTCAAAAGAACGGACCAGAGTAGGCGTCGTTATCGCAGGCACGTGAAGCCAAAGAAGTTATAAGGATATGGTCCGCGTGAGCAAGATAATCCAGCGCCATCTGACTTCGAGCGGCATTGACGTCCCCAGTTCCAGGAAAATCAGTCAACTCGAGCTCCAAAAGGATATCGCTATCGCAGCCATACACAGCCAATTGCACCAAGGGCCAGAAATCAGGCTCCGGTCCGTCAATGTCCATCGGATCCAGGTCCGGATGACTAAGCCGCCTGACTTCTGTACGTAGTGCAAGGCTGAGCGCGTCTGCATCTTCCCCTGAGAAGCGGACCGTGGCGCCTAAACAGCGCCGTAGCCCTACGATATGTTGAATCAGGGCGTTGTTAGAGCACACGATACACATATGCACCTTGGTCCAGCGCGAGTATATCGTCCACGGTCGTCCCATCGCTGAACATGTCTTCGACGCCGGGATACACAGCTTCAAGCTACAGATTCAAGTGTATTCAGCAGTGTATCGCCCAACGTTTTGGACGACGCACCTTGTTCCAAGTCCGCTTATCCTCTAACTTAGTTCCCTCCACCCCAAGTTCCGGCAACGCCGCCACGAAGGCTTCAATCTCAGCGATCCAATCTTCTAACTTGATGAATTCCACCCGTCCCGTGGGAATCTCGCTGCTGCTGTAGACCACTTTTGACACAAACGACGTGACCGCATGCCCTTCTCCGTCCGCCGGTAGCAGATTGCCTGTCGAGTGAGATTCCCAGATGAGTGAAGCGGAGATGAACATGCTAATAGGAAAGCTGACGATTGATTAGGCAGTTGATGAGAGTGGACTTTCCACTCCCAGATGCTGCGCATAGCGTTGAGTGAGCGTGGCCTTCTTGTACGGCATATGAAGGCACGCATACCTCCGTATACTGCAACACGAAGAACAGGGAGGTCGGCGTCAATGAGGCTACATTGCAGAGAGCGGAGTTAGCGAACGAAATTGGAAGGCTTCCGCGCAATACTACAGCACTTACCTTGCTGCTGTCTCCCGCCATTCCTGGGCCCTGGTGGGCCAAACATTCTTGAACTCTTGCTGAACGTCCCGGAGGTCGCGGACGTAGTTCCTCAAACGGCTCATCTCATCCTCCATCCACTGGGGACTATTCACGTCTGCCGCGTTTGGCTCTTCGTCGTTGGACTCTTCCTCTTCCAGATCCTCCAACTCAATTTTGGGAGGAGGGTCAACATTGGGGTCTATGTCGTCGGCCACCGGGCCTATGAAGGCGGTATGTAAGTATCAACGACGTCTAAGCGACAGGACCACTGACCGCTTACGGCTGGACCGTCTTCATCAGCACGTGCCTCTGGCAAAGCATCATACTCCGCAGGTTCGGTCTTGATCAACATCCAGTATGACAACAGGCGCGCGGAAATGAAGGCGTGAGCGCTGAGCGTGAGTTGTCAAGGCTTCAACGTGGCCGGCGTGGCTTGCGGCCATCGGATCAGAACACCGCTGATTTCGGAACGGCAAGCCGGGCCACATAGCCGCAAGTCTAACCCCGAGCTTGCCTGGTCCGCGATTCTTGTGCGGGCAGTACTTTTGTCCCGGTAGTGTATGACACGAGGAGCTACAGCACTGCGGTTATCCTAGTATTCGACTGCACCTACAAGCTATGCCATGACGTCCTAGATCACGAGTAAGTATAAGGAGCCAATAACTTAATATCCAGTGAGGCGTGTACCATAAACGAGAGTACAAATGCAACAACCAAAACCTATGCAAATATCCGCCGACGCCTACTTCAAACTCTGACTAGCATGCTCCCAGCTCCCATCCGCACTCCCACTGCTCCCGCTCCCCACCGGACTGCGCTCATGCCCATGCGCGTCCTTCTCATCAACATCAGGCTCATCCCTATACGTCCCGCTCCCCCTCCTCAACCCCGGCGTCCCAGCATTACTCCCCTCCTCATCCTCCAAAAAGCTATCATGGTACCCCAGCCCCACATGGCTCGCGCTCCCCGCCGGCCTCAACCGGCTCCTCTCATCAGCCTCATCATCATCATCGCTCGCCTCGCCGAATGCATCGTACAGCTCCTTCGTCCCGCGCGGGCGGCCGGAGCCTACGGCGCCCATAGCGAGCGCGTCGTCCGGCACGGCGGAGTAGGAGGACGAGAGCGTGCGGCGCCGGCGCCGGAGGAGGAAGAAGACGCCGATGCAGAGCGCGAAGAGGACGAGGAGCGCGAGCGCGCCGAAGAGCCATTTTTGGGAGGAGACGAGCGTGGACATGCCGCTGAACCAGCCTTCGTCGGGCGTGGGCGTCATCGTGGGCGCGGCGCTCTCGGTAGGCTTGCCCTCCAGATCTTCCTCGCTGCCCTTGTCGTCTGAAGACGACGACGAGCCGCTCTCGAAGGCGGGCTTGTCGGCTTCGCCCGGCGCGGAACCGTGGTCGCCTGGGAGATGATCCGTGGGCTTCGGGTGCGTCTTGGTGTTGCTCGGGTCGTCGGGTTTGGTGGGCGTGGGTTTGACTTGGGGGAGGAGAGTGGGGAATAGGGAGAGCTCGTATTCGGAGGTCTTTGTTGGGTCGATTGTGGAGCCGAAGAGGGAAAGTTGCCAGCCGAGGAATTTACCCGAGGCGGCTTCGGCGGCGGTGTCGCCTACGCGGATTGTCCAGTCACCTAGCGGGTTCTCGCCCCTATACAGAGAGTCCAGTTAGAATGACGAATGATGCGATGAGGAGGGTGAGGCTAACCAGTGCTTGACAGACATAAACCTCCAGCCAGGATATCCAGTATCAGCCTTATCCGACCTCCTGCTCGCCGCAAGAATGCTCTTGACGCCGTTGGGACTAACAACCTCAACCTCCACGCTCCCCCTATTCGGATGCGTAATCCAAACTCGAACCGTAACATGCTCCAACGCCTCGAAATTGCCCTTATCCAGATCCTCCTGCGTGACCGTGATCGTATGCTGCAGTCCACCGGGCACGATGGTCTGCCCGCCGGCCATGTTGCCGACGATGTCGCAGGTGCCGGAGGAGATCTGCACGGCGGGCATCTCGATCCATGTTTGGGGCTTGACGAGAGGCCAGTCCTGCGCGGCGGTTACGAGGGCATAGCCGTTGAGCCGGCCGTAGCCGTATTTGTAGCTGAACATGCGCCCCGTGGCGGTCTTTTCCCAGTCGGGGTCTTCGGGGTTGATCACTTCGGCGGTTTGGACGGTGAGGTGTTGAATGTCGCGCCAGGTAAGGTCGGGGCTGGTGCGAAGGTCAGACTAGAACTGGTGGAGGGAGATGAGGATGGCTTACCGAACTCCTAAAGCGAGGGCGTAAACGCCGACTGCGTTAGGTGCAGCGGCGGACGTGCCGCCGTGGCTCTCCGTACACTTGTTCTCGCCCTTGTCCGTGGTGACCTGCAACATAGTTGTCAGCGACAGCATACATTGTAGCAAGATGAAAGACGAACGATGTGATTGCCGCTTCCAGAGCTGTACGCAACGACCATATTCGCCGCGCACGACTCGGAATAATAAGGGTGCAAACCCTTATAATCCACCGCCGCAACCGTGACGGAGTATATGCTGTTCGTATACCCATCAAAGTTACACTGATCGCCAAATCCAGCCCCATTCCCGCTCGCGAACACGAACACGCTCCCCTTGCCCTCCCGTCCATTCTGAATCCCATTGATCATAGCCCTCTCGATGAGATAACTGGGCGCCTCCATGCTCTTGCCGTCGTCCGGAGGGCCCCACGAGCACGAGTAGATGGCCGTCTCCTTGTAGTTGTGGTTCAAGGCGGCTGCTTCGTCTATGTCGGAGATCGGGCCGGAGAGGATGCGCACGCCTGAGATCTTGGAGTTGTAGGCGATTCCGAGGCCGCAGGCGTCGTTTTTGCCGGCGCCGATTTGGCCGGCACAGCGCGTGCCGTGGGTGTCGTCGAATAGTTTGGGTGTCGGGAGGTCCTCGTGGTCGTTGTAGTCGTACGAACCGGGCGCGTACTATACATCCATCCTTACATTAGCGCAGAGTTCAAAGCCGTGGGGACATGGGGAACTTACGAAGTTATCCTTCAGATCTGCGCTGGTATAATCCAAACCGTCGTCCACGAGCGCGGATATGACGCCTTCGCCCGTGATGCCCATCTCCCACAGGCGCGAGACATTCATCATATGCTCCGGAAACTCGTCGTTCACCAGATGCCACTGTTTCCCGAATATCGGGTCGTGGACGTCCAATTGGCTCGCGACGTCCGCGCTCTTCTGGCCCGTCGGGGTATCGGGCCGGATGGGCGGCGGGGCGCGCTTGACGCGTTGGCGCGGTTCTTGCAGGGCGAGGTAGCGGACTGCCGGATGCGGTGGAGTTGTGCTTCGACGGCGTAGGTGTTCCGAAGAGCGCGCGGTCTTGTCGGCCCGCACTAGCCAGGTATCGCGGAGCTCGCCAGCGCGCTCGACGACGTCCACACCCAATGTCCGCGCGACCTCCTCCAGCGAGCTCCCATGTCGCGGTTCATGCTCAAGCACATAATAATCATATACGTCCTCCTGTCGTTTATGCGGTCTGTGCGTAGCAGCATTTGCAGAAACAATATCCAAGGCTAAGAGTAAGGTCAAAGGTAAGAGCCGCATGGCGGCGTGGTGAGAAGAAGCGAAAAGGTCCAAGAAACGAACGACGGGAAACGGAGGGTGTTGGCGGGCGGTCGCGATGAGAAGCGCGAAACGGGGTTCGTGGAGGCCGATTTGTCAGCCATCAAGGCGCGCGCGCAGCACTGCCTGCCCTTGATTGCGACGTCTCAACGATCTGAGTCGGATCTCAGACATATGATGCCAATTAGTCTTTCTACATAGGCGCTGCGTTATTCTCGAACATCAGGATGTGCATACATGAGGAAAAGGAAATATATTATTTGAGTAAGTATATCATATCCATACGTGGATCGGTAACCGAAGAGAACCCCCAAATGAAGAAGAGCATGAGTATGCATCATATGCAGTGCTTAGAGCTGAGTTACTAGTCATCTTGAAACGCGACGACTTTCATCGGTGGCGCCGGCGGCTAGACACTTGATGGGAAGTTGTGAGAAAAAAAAAGTATGAGCCCTTTCAGAGAGGCGATGCACCTCTGCCCGCAAGGGCTGTACACAGGCTAATATCCTCGTATTTTGCACATCCGTGCTAGCCAGCATGGCTCTCTGTAGTACGCAAAGTCAGTAGAGAATCATTGAACTGTGTAGGACTTGGATCTTACAGTAAAGGATGCATCCGCCTGGTCCAATCGCTTGAGTAGGTTCTGCAGTTCGGACGAGTGTCGCTTAGCGCGTATGAACCGCACGAGTACGCGTTGGCGCGCGAGACCTTCCATGTCCTGGTGCACAGCCTGCATATCCCTTTGGGATGGTCAGTGCGAATATTCGAACAGGATAAGCGGAAGACCTTACTCGGCTAGTACGCGGATGGCGTCTTGAGTGATAGGCGAAAGCATCGTCACGTCGGGCACCGCGCGTACAAGCGAGGCAGCAAACACGTCAATTTGGGTGTATATCTCGCGGACTTGTTCCTTGTTGCTCGATACGGCCTGCGGCAACGTTGAGTGCGTGCGAGAAGAAATAATCAAGTGAGCCTACATCGACCTGCGTCATGATGAAGAGCAGTCCACCGACGACACTCTTGAGAGGCGGGAACGCATCGGCAGATTGGGCAAGCCCTTCGAGACTCAGAAGGAGAATGTCCTTCGTCATCTTCTTAGACACCTTCGGACGGCGGCGTAGGGGTTGTACACTGATACTCCCAGGCGACTCGGCCACGACGGTCGGCGAAATCATGGCGAGAGCCGTGGGCGCTGGTTGGACGGCGGGCCCTTCAATGGCTCGGGTAGAGCGGTCACGCTTGGCAACGTGAAGAGCACGTTGAACGAATAGAGTCCCTCCAGCGCGAAGACGTCTGTATGCGAGCAAGGTGAGGTTCGGCATCGTCTTCGAGGTCGTGTAGTGAGATCGATGTAAAGCAGGTCGGCAATAGAGCAGAGTCGTGAGACGACGAGAGTGAGGATGGTGCGTGGTATGGGCAAGCACAGTACGAGCTGGCGTGCAGCCGTCGAACAGACGCTCGATGCTGTGGACCTACACCCGAGGACAACAGCTCGTTGACTTCTCCTCGCGCGCGTGTACAGCCCGCTCGGAAATGAAAATCAGGACAGATACCGCTATCGACGGTGCATAGCGGATGCGCTACCATATAAAACCTGATTTTCCTGAGATAGCATGCGCACTGGGACTACTAAAAGGTTCTGCTTAGTGCGTAGCGTTCAGGTCGCATCCTGCAAGTTCGAGGTCAAGTCGCCCACGCTGCGGCGCTCAAGCCCATGCGCGGGAATTGATGGCAGACGCGATCACATGAGCTACGCTTGACGTGCGGTCTCACTGTTCGTGGAACCCTGATTGGCACTCTGAGTGGATGTAGAACCGGTTCGAGCCACGAAAGATACAGACTGGCTATCGAGAAAGACGAGGCCTAGACACGTGGGAGTATGAGAAAGTTCGCTGGAGAACAAGCTATAGAGAAATGAGGTGCGAAAACTACGGCAGAAGAGTGATGACGAGTGGATGATGTTTTTGGTATATTCTAGCTTTTATCAATGTTTTCGAGCAGTTTCCGTTTTCAGGGAGAAGGACATGGGGGAAAATGAGGCATGGCATCTGCTAGATGGACGGCGAGGACACGCAAGGATCTTTTTGGGATATATCGGCTTTATCGATGTTTTTGGGTTTTCACGTTTTCGGAAGGAGTGGACCAAGTAGGCGAGTGGGAGCGAAGCAAGATGAAATGCAACCGCAGCCACGGTTATCGCAGTATCGGCTGAAACAGGCGTTGCGCTCGCGTCATCATTCTGCTTTGAACGATTGCCGCCCATCGCGAATACCGCCACCCCGTGGTTGGCTCACTTGGGGCGAACCTAAAACAGACACAATCAGATGGCTGCTTATTATGCATGCCGATATCGCAAAGCGTACCTTGTTGGAAGCCAGTGTCACAGCGAGGGAACGGGTCAGGGTAGATAGTCGGTGTATATCTTCCCGTAACGGTTCAACACACGCTAGTATTTTCGTAGTCTTCGTGTCCGCATTGATCAACATACTTCTCTAAAAATAGAAGGCGTATGGGCGAGATCTGCGTACATAGCACTTCACAAAGCACATACTGTGAAAGCCGCGTTAATCTGTTCAAGCCGTTTCGTGAAGTCCTGTAGTTTCTCTGAGTCCCGTTGGGCGCGTATGAAGCGTAAGAGCTTGTTATGGCCCGCCATGTTGACCATATCCTTGCCTAGAGCCTCCAAGTCCCTGTGGAGATGGATTAGCGAAGCAGAGACCAATTGATCCAGGAGTGGAGACATAGGCTTACTCAGCCAGTATGCGAATGGCCTGTTGGGCCGAGGGCGAGAGCTCATCCGAAGCAGGGTCGAGCTTGCGGATGATATCGTAGACTAGGACATGAAACTCGTAAATCGCCTCTACGTTCTTGGAGACCAGCTTTTACATCGAGTGACGTGAGCTTCATGACATGTGGAACTGATCAATGACTTGCCTGGGCTTGCTTGAGGAGGAACGCCAGACCGCTGACGACGCTCTTGAGCGGCGGAAATGCGTCGGCGGATGCGGCGAAAGCATCTAGAGACAACAACATCGCGTCCTTGATGTTCGAAGCGGTCCCTCCAAGCTGGCGAACGTGGTGAACGACATTATTTGTGGACTTAGAGCGCGTTCTCCCGTCAAAGAACTTGGACCCAGATACGCGTTTCGCGTACTCGAGAGAAGTGTTTATATAAGCGGTATATCTATCAGGAACTTGGGTGGGAACTGGGTCAGGATTCTTGTACGATCGGGGTGCGCGCAATGTCAACTGGAACACCCTAGGGCGGATCTGCCTGGTCGCGAGGAAGTTGTCGTCCAACATGGCCTTGTATAGGACGACCAAGCGAGGAGGGACTGAAGATGCACTGCAGAGGTGGGTTATATAGAGGTGCATATCCGAGGATCGACGTCCTCGGGTGGCTGTGTGACCTCAGCGCCCTTGCAGGACCACTTTCAAAAGACGCCAGCGCTCATATAACCTGAAAATGGATAAGTAGCTTATCTGATGCGAAAGGTGATGACGGAAGATAAGCGGAAAGGGCTCGCGCGTGTCACGCTCCAGTGAAGAACGGGGCAATGTAAAGAGATACAGTACATAACAAGAAGAGAGCAAGTACATAACGTATGCAAACAGGTGGGGGAAGTTGACGGGGTGGTGTCTAGCTGTCCAACAGACGCAGCTTTGTATTGTTCGCGACCCGCATCCACACGTCCATATCTTCATACTACGATCCCGCATCAGTTTCATCCCTGACATCGCCATGAAGATACGTCCACATACCTCAAGGATCGTCTTCATGAGCGCAGCCTCCGTGAAGCCCAACCCAATCACACGCTGCCTGACATCAACGAGGCTAACCGTATCCTCCTCCTCATCCTCCGCATCGCTATCCACGTCCATATCCCTCTCCCTCCCGGGGCCTCTGCCCATCCTGCGTTGCCTCTTCGGCCTCCGCCCACCAGCCGGCTTTGTAAGAAGATCGCGTATGACACGGTATATCTTGCTCGTCTCGCTCCGGTCTGCACCGCGCCCCTCATCCTCTTCCTCATCCGCAAGCGACTCTTTGGAGACAGTCATCAACCGTAACGCCTCGTCCACATCGTGCACCAGCACCGTATCGGCGAACCGCAACCTCGCAAGCGCTTGAGACAGGCGCAACACACCCAGGAGCGTTCGGACGGAGGTGTATCCTTCGGCTTTACCGGCTGCCTCGTCGTCTTTGCTTTGTTTGCGGAGTCGGACGTAAGCGTCGACGACGTATTGCGATACATCTGCGGGCACGGTTGGACGACGGCGGCGCGCTTGGGCGATATAGTGCCGCATCAGACCCGGCTCGACCGGGTCAAAGTCGAGTTGCGGGTGTTCGCCGTGCATATGAACATAAGTCACATGCCGCGCAAGCATCTCGTCGTCCGCCCTGCTCGGCTTATCCAGTATCAAAAACATCAAATCGAAACGCGACAGCAGCGCCGCGGGGAGGTTGATGTTTTCCACGGGCGAGACCTTGGTGTTGTAGCGCCCGTAGAGCGGGTTGGCCGCGGCGAGGATGGAGGTGCGCGCGTTGAGGGTGGTGGAGATGCCGGCTTTGGAGATGGAGATGGTTTGTTGCTCCATTACTTCGTGGATCGCGGTGCGGTCTGCGTCTTCCATTTTGTCGAATTCGTCGATGCAGCAGATGCCGTTGTCGGCGAGGACCAGGGCGCCGCCCTCTGCAAGCCATGTATCAGCGTCTGCGGGTAAACCGCGAAGGACGGAGAAGGCGTACCCAGGACCATCTCGTCCGTGACGGGGTCGCGCATGACGGCGGCTGTCAGACCGACGCCTGACGAACCCTTGCCGGTGGTGTACACCCCCCGCGGCGCCACCTTCGAGATGTACTTCAACAGCTGCGACTTGGCCACACCGGGATCGCCCATCAAACAAACGTTCAAATCTCCCCTGATCATCATCCCGTCCCCCGTCGTCTTCGTCACACCGCCCACAAGCAAAAGCAACAACGCCTTCTTAACGTCCACATGCCCATAGATCTCCGGCGCGATACTATGCGCGAGTTTATTGTACAGCGCCGGATCCATCTTGAGCTCCTCGATCTGCGCTTCGATTTCGGGCGTGAGCTCCATCTCGGTATATTGCTTTTTGAGTTGGTAGATGTGGTGCGCTTCGAGGTAGGTGTCTGTGAGAAGGCCGGCGCGGATGGCTTGGAAGCCGGTGTAGGGGACGGGCAGGAAGGCGCCGCCAATGTGGATTACGTCGCCTGGGGAGACGGTGCGGGTGAGGTTGCCGGAGACGTGGACGGTCATGGAGCGCGGGATGTGGCCGACGGGGACTTGGTCTGCCTGTAACACGCACATAAGCGTATCAGCCTCACTGCGAACCCCAAAGTTGAAGTATGATAGATACGCACCATCTCCTGAATCTTGACCTCCTGGAACGGACTAAACCTGCTCGCCCTGGTCTGCATATGCAGACTCCCATGAATCCCATTCTTCTTGCACTCCGCCTCATTTTGGCAGTCCGTGATCGGCGTGAACTGCTTGTTCGAGATCTCTTGGAAGGTTTCGCTGCCGCATGCGTCGCACGTGTAGGCGTTGACAAGGAGGAGAGGTTTGACTTCCGATACGCGCGTGACGATGCCGCGGACGGTGATGAGTTTGCCGAGGTAGGCGCCTTTGACGTCGCGCACGGCCATTGCTACGTCTGAGAGGAGCGGTTTGAAGTACAGGTTGCTGTTGATCAAGGGTCAGACTTCATTCAGTATAGACTTGGCGAGGAACGACGACGTACTATCTCCGTACGAGATGCGCGGGGAATAGGTTCTGCGTCTGGTCCTCGCTCTCCAGCTCGGCGTTACGGTTGGCGCGTTGATGAAGAACAACGTCGATGACGTCGTCGGACTCGGAGAGGTCTTTGGTGGGCTGTGGCATGATCGAGTCGACGACTTCGTTGAAAAGCCGGACGTAGCGCCGGACGTTGTGCTTGATGCGCGCCACTAGCTCAGCGACGGTCTTCTCGTACTGTATCATGTAATGAGTAAATGTACAAGTATATCTAGATGAAGGGCGAACCTTGGAGATGTCCTCGAGCTCGATGACCAGCATCTGCTGCTCGCGGTTCGCTATCCGTTGCTATCCACACTGGTCAATAAACGCACTGCATAAACAAGATAAAGAGTACGCACCAGCTGAGACATGTATTTATGTCCCCTGTACCTCGCCGCAGGCCCCTCATCATCCTCCAGATCCATATGCGCCAACCCATCCTCAAAGTCCCCGCTTGTTCCCAGATAGTTCTCCAAGAAATTCGTGATTTTCTCTACACAATACTCCATCAGTATCCATATTCTCATTTGCAGCGGGAGAAAGGTTACGCACGCTTCTCGTCGAGGTAGTCGACGCCGATATCGACGACGGCGAGGGACATAGTGGTGGTCAGAGGTTGAATTTGGCCGAGTTGGGAAACACGTTCAACAAAGACGCGTCTCTGAACGGTCACGCAGACGCGTCTTGTCACACGCGCACACCACAACAGCGTCTCGCGCTCAAGTTTGCTTTCAACGGCCACACCGGCCCGTCCATCCTCTTCTTGGCTTAGTCGTTTTGGTCATGTTCAAGCGCAAGGCTTTTGTTGAGCTAGTCCGGCGCGTACGGCCAAGGCGTGGAGGCTCGGAGGGTGAAAATGACGCGGGTTCGTCGTCGGTTGCGTCGCCGAGTACTAGGAAGCAGCCCGTGGTCGAGCTTGCCGGGGGATCTCGCGTAAGTAACACATTTACTAGCTCGAGAAGCGCCGAATACGACCTGATACTTTATGTAGCGCTCTGGCTTAAACTCCATGCGATTCGAGGTCGCGTCTGCGGCAGGTGACTCGGCCGAAGACGAAGATGAGGCCGCGCCCGCCTCGGACGCCGAAATGCTCGATTCTGGCGCTGAGCAGGACACGCAAGTCGTCGAGGAGTCCGACGAGGAAGTTGCTTCTAGTCTGCCTCTATCTGCGCGTCATCCTACGCCTGGACCGTCCAGTTCTCGCAGTCTGTCCCGTCGGCGAAGCTCTGTGCGCCTCTTCTCGTGTGATCCTTGTGTTTGACGGCTGACTAAGTTGCACAGATCCCGTTCGTGTCGGTGCCGTCTCGTCGGAGCTCATTACGGACTCGACAGCCTACGGAGGATTATGTTGACGATGATGTACTAGCATTTATCTCCTCTGAGTGCATGCATGTTCTTAAGAACGTAACGCAGGTTGTGATGAACGACAACTCAGCCGTAATGAGCCGAAGCACAGGTCAGTGCAAGTCGTAGTGTCTTCGCTTGCTCTTATGCTGAACTCGCTACGTGTCTGTCTACAGGATTGTTGACGTACGTATTGCATATTCCTATATGCGTCCAATCCCTTGAACCGAAACATTCTCAGCCCTCGCATAACGAAGACGCCGAGCTCTTCAGTTTGCCCTCCGACAAACGAGGACGAAGATGGTTAGTTCGGCTTTGCACCTTATTATTCTCGTATTTGTGATCTCAAGTCGTCCATAGAAGAACCGCCTGCGCAGTACGAAGCTCCCGACGACGAGATCGTGGAGTCGGAGGAGCTGGTCAACATGCTCAAAGAGTTCAAAGAAGACGCCTCCGAATCTGACGAGGAGTCGGACGACGATGACGATGACGACCCGGACGACCGCCCTGTTCGATTCCTCGACGACTTTGCGCTCTACGACTCCTCAACGCTCGGCATGGAAGATTTCTGGCGCCTGGCACTTGAGTCTCAGGATGATGCGTTGGCGGGACGGGGAATCGTTGCATCGGGTATCGTCAGTCCTCGACCGCGCGTGGACGATGATGGCGAGGAGATTGAGACGGGCTTTGACTCTGACGAGGCTCCGCGTGTACGGCTTACCGGTATCTTGGAAATCGACTATCTATGGTGGTACAAAGATACAGAAACGCTGGACACGTACGTGGTTCAACATTATATGCTTTCCACATACACTCAGGCTGACAACATTCTTGTAGCGATATATGGATCCGCACGAACCACGCGTGGTACCTCCTCCGTTCGCCTTGTGAAGCGTACCGGCCCTTCATGCAATCATTCGCTCTCGCGCACGGTATCGTCTACGAGTTGGCCGAATACGCTCTAAAACATACTCGCGCGTGGATGTCGGCGTTTCTCGACGAAGTCGACAGAGTGCATGGGGAGCACGAGACTTATTTAACAAGAAAGCAGTGCGAGGATGCGTTCAAGGTATGCATATCTGCCCTGCCGTCGTAGGGATCTGGCATGTGAAGCTGATACTTTTGATCGAAGGATGTACGCGTTCTGCACATGATCGACAATCTACGATCGGACGCCCCGCCGATCCGCAAGACGACCATATTCCGCCGCCTCGAAACGGCTCCCGCCCCTACTGGCAGCGCACCGCCCTCACGCGCCATATCAACCTATTCAGGCGCAGCAACAGACTACACAGGCGACGAAGACGAGTCCACCTCCCTCTCCGCCTCCACCTCAAAACGCCCTCGCGTCCGGCGCAAATCCTCCTCCCGCAACCCCGAACGCGCGATCCTCGACGAGGACAAGGACAAGAAGACGGTGCTTATGCCGATCATAGCCGCAACGGCGCAGACGATGCGGCATCTGAAGTTTAAGAGTGTGAAGGCGGTCAGGGAGAGGCAGGCGGAGGTGTTGAAGAAGCAGGGGAAGAAGACGAGGGTGCATGAGTTCGATCCGGAGAGGATCGTTTGGGGACGGAGGATCATGAGGGACGACGAGGGTGTGGGAGTTTATGAGTGGGTGGATATTGATGGGGTTAGGTATAAGGTACGTGTTTCTGATCAGCGTAATGTGGACTTAAACTGAACGAGGTTTGACGGTGCAGCCCGGTGATTTTGTTATGGTTCAGCCTGGAGAGGACGGGAAGGCGACTCGCGCCAAGGCCGGCGAGACGGTGCATACGACGAACGCTCTAGGCCATACGAACTGGCAAGTCCCCCCTCCTTCTCATTTTGACGTGCATACACTTGCTCATAGACCACTACCAACACAGGTTCGCGCGCATAGTCTACCTCCACGACGGTGGCAACAAAAAGGGCTTCAAGTTCCATGCGCAATGGCTCACACATTCCTCCAAGACGATGCTCCAAGAGTTTTCGCACCCCAACGAGCTCTTGTGGCTGAAGGAATGCGAAGACTTGGTGCTTGCCTCGATCATCCAGAAGATCGACGTGAAGGTGTTACCGGTTAAAGGCGCTGTGGGAGAGGAGTCGAGCGTGGGTCATCTACCCGACGATCATTTCTTTCACCGGTGCGGGTTCCGTTGCTATGCACGCGCTATGCATCTACTGATACTGTTTCTAAGGCATCTATACTACGACGAGGATCTGGTAGCATGGGCCGATCTCCCATCCGGCATCGCCACAAAAGCGCTCGAGACATGCGACCCGCATAAGCAGTGCATCCCCTGCGGTCTCCACGAGCTCGACGACCAGCACGAAGCCCTCACCGTACTCGACGACGACTCAGCGTTCGAGACTGGCGGCGTGCAGTACCACCGTCTGGAGTGCGTGTACCTGTACAACGAGAAGGACCCGAACGACGCATTCCAGCTTGCGCAGGTGCTCGAGTGGAGGTGGAAAGATCCGCCGAAGTCGAAGAGCAAGAAGAAGAAGGGACCGGTTTTTACGCTTACGGTCAAGTACTTCTGTCGGCACGATGATGTGGTTGCTAAGGAGCGGCGGGCGGGGAAGGAGGCGGATGATTGGAGTACAGATGAGGTATGCGCATTGAATGTATCGTCCCGTTGAAAGCACGGTACTAATCATGACCCAACAGCGACACATCTTCCTGACAGGCCGCGAAGAAGAAGTCAACGCCGACCGCGTCGCAGGCAAGTTCTTCGTCCGCCGCCGCGAACCCCAGAACAGAGACTGGCTCATCGATAACCCCGACGTCTTCTACTGCACGCACACGACGGATCTCAACGGTAAAGACGTGCAGTCGTCTGATGAGCTCGAGGAGCTGTTGCCGCGCGTCAAGTTTGAGAGGTGTGAGGGGTGCTTTGATGGGATGATGCAGCGCAATAAGAAGTTGAGGTCGTTGCCGGCTTTGAAGGGCGTTGAGATCTTTGCTGGTGAGTTGCGATTTGTGTGCGTTGCATGGATGAGTTGTGTGCTGAATGAGCGTACGTAGGCGCGGGTGGATTCTCTGAGGGGATGAAAAGGATGGTCGATACAACCCATTTCATTGAATACTCGCCGAGCTGCGCGAAGACGCTTCAGTGAGTCACTGAGGTTCGTGCGCCCAAATTGACCGTCATGCTGAACTATGTTCAGAGCCAATCACCCCGATGCTGTCGTGTACAACTACGACTGCAACGTCGTCCTGCAGCGGGAGATCGACGTCTCGGAGGGAAAAGAAAGCGAGCCGCTGTATGGCCCTGACGGATCAGAGCTTCCCATGCTTCCCGAGCCCGGTGACGTGGACATTATCTATGGCGGTAATTGCCAAATGTCTTGATCACTACGATGCCTCTCTAATGCACGTTACTGCAGGACCGCCCTGTCAGTCGTTCTCCAAAGCCAACCATAGCAAGGTGGGTCTCCTCCTCTTTTGTCCTCGCAAACATGACCTCGAACGTCCCTACAGAAAGCCGACGACCCTCGGTCAATGCTGGCTCTCGTCCTCTTGTCTTACGTTGAAAGGCTCCAACCAACCTACGTGATCATCGAGAACGTCGTCGGATTCGCTGAGCACAAAGCAGAGCTCGAAGACGGACGCATCGTCGACAACGCGATGCTCAAAGTCGTACCGCGCTGCGCGCTAGCGCTCGGGTGCGTGAGCATCCCCGTCGGCCGATGATCCTCCTCCCTGATAGGCGCCCGCCCATATTCGAACAGATATCAAGTCCATGTCAGGGTACTGCAAGCGGCACAATACGGTGTCGCACAGGGACGTCGACGCGTTATTATCATCATGGCGAAGCGCGGTGTGCCGCTGCCTCAGCATCCTCTGCAGACTCATGTACATGAGCCGCCTCAACGGGTGAAGTTACCGACTGGCGTAGCGCTACGCGGGGTTTCTCGGCTGGCACACGGTTACTTGACCGAGGCTTCGCGGGCGGCGTACTGCGACAAGGCGCCGTCTGCCGCCCCGCACCGGAAGGTGACTGTTGAACAGGCAGTCGGCGATCTGGTAAGAGCTGCTTTCACTCCCTTCGGATTCAATATATTGACCGACGTTACGCTCCCATAGCCTGAATTTCATTGGTGAGGTTCTACAACATGCCAGAGTGTTCAGCGCAAGTCTGATTATCATTCCAACAGGCGGCGTCCGGGATACGAGCTGAAGATCACCAGCGCTCAGCGACAGGAAGAGGCGAACTTGCGCGCCCGAGGTATCCCCGTCATCGATGCCATCACGCCTGGGAACGGTCTGCCTGTGGTCGTTGGGTTCACCGAGTCCGCTCCGTACGGCGACATCCCGAGGTCCTTGTATCAGCGTAGTCTGCGCTCGGAGGCTCCGCTCGCGGACGACGACGACGGCTCGACGGCAGACACTGAACCCTTGGTGTCGATGCATTACACGAAGTCCTTTAGCGCGGCCACTATCGAGCGCGTTACTGCCATTCCCATGGTTGCCGAGGCTAATTGGAAAGGTGAAGCCTGTTTCCTCCCTCTCCATTCAAGCGCCTGCTGATGCTGATCTCGTTTTTCAGATCTTCCGAGCAACTTGCCGCTCAAGATCGGCGAGAAAGCTAGAGAGCGCAATGCGAAACCTTCCAAGGGAACCCTGCGCCGGCTGCCTGCAGACGGCGTGTTTGCGACTTCGATGACTAATTCGTATCCTCTCTCCAAGACAGGCGCGGCGTTGCACTACAATGTGAGTGCGCCTTGACCGTCTTTGGAATGATATGAGCTGAATGGATGATAGCAACGCCGCATCATCACCGTCCGCGAATATGCGCGCGCTCAGGGTTTCCCTGACGCCTATCAACTCTGTTCCGTCAATGAGCGCCCGGTCACCATCGTAGCAGACGTGCGTTTGCTCGTGTCTCTTCTCAACGCTGCTTCGGATCGTTGACCTTCACACGCAGCAACAGCGCCAGGTCGGCAATGCAGTGCCGGTTCCTCTCGCGCGCGCTATCGGCGAACAAGCTCTGAGACCCGCCGTCCTTGCTTGGCACGAGCAGCAGGCTCGCGAAGAGCGAGATGAAGACGATGGTACACCCGAAATTTAGGAATCTATCTATCCATGCTGCTGAAGTATACCCGTCACATTCCTGTCATCACTAACATTGTACGCCTGGGTCCTGCTGTACTATGCTCGTCTGTCGATATTGTTGTCGCATTGCTTTGCTATTTGTTGTCCACATACTTGTACACCTTTGCGATACCCTTGCCACCATATCATTCCCCTCTCTTGCTTACAGCTGTTCCCGAAAACCTTGGGAATGAGCGCGTTTTTTTGCGCGCGCGAACGAAGTGAGTTCGCGCCGAAAAAGGAAAGCCTCACCCGATTGGGAAGGACCACGCGCGACCGCCACTCGCCGGCCGCTACGATTTCCGCGTGTGGCCCTCGTCGTCCTCCTCAGACTCTTTATGTAATGGACAATTCTTCAGGAGTCGACCCTCCAGTAGCCGGAATAAGCGGGTTATTGATGTGCCAAGGAAGCTCAGAGCAAGCACGCGACATGCACGCTCGAGTCCGGACACGCAGCAGCCCACATTGCGACGCCGGGCAGGATATGAGCGCTTGAGCACTCGTTCGGTGGTCAAAGCTGTGTATCGTAAGCTAGTCCATGTAAAGGGATCACAGTGTAAGTACGGGGTAATAGAACTATAGTATACTGGAGGGCCACACGCGGAAATCGTAACAG